AGCTATAACCCAGCTTGAAGCTACGACCAGATTAACCAGCATGACCAGATCAAGCAGCTTGACCAACATGACAAACTGGGTATGCTGGAGCAATAACCCAACTTGAAGTTAGGACTAGATCAACCCACATGACCATATCAACCAGTGTGGCCATCATGACAAACTGGGCATGCTGGAGCTATAACCCAGCTTGAACCTAGGACCACATAAACCAGCATGACCAGATCAATCAGCATGACCAATATGACAAACTGGGCATACCGGAGCTATAACCCATCTTGAAGCTAAGATCAGATCAACCAGCATGACAAGATCTGCCAGTGTGACCAACATGACAAACTGGGCATGCTGGAGCTATAACCCAGCTTGAAGCTAAGACCATATCAACCAGCTTGACCTAATCAACCAGCGTGACCAACTTGACAAACTGGGCATGCTGGAGCTATAACCCAGCTTGAAGCTAAGACCAGATCAAGCAGCATGGCCAGATTCACCAGCGTGACAAACATGACAAACTGGGCATGCTGGAGCTCTAACCCAGCTTGAAGCTAGCACCAGATCAACCAGCGTGACCAGATCAAACAGTGTGACCAACATGATAAACCGGGCATCCTGGAGCAATAACCTAGCTTGAAGCTAGGACCAGATAAATTAGCATGACCACATCAACCCGCGTGACCAACATCACGAAGTAGGCATGCTGGAGCCATAACTCAGCTCGAAGATAAGACCAGAACAACCAGCATGACAAGGTCAGCCAGCGTGACCAACATGACAACCTGGGCACCCTGGAGCTATAACCCAGTTTGAAGCTAAGACCAGATCAACCAGCATGAGATCAACCAGCGTGACCAACATGACAAAGTGGGCATCCTGGAGCAATAACCTAGCTTGAAACTAGGACCAGAACAACCAGCGTGACCAACATGACGAACTGGGCATGCTGGAGCAATACACGAGCTTGAAGCTAAGACCAGATCAACCAGCATGACAAGGTCAACCAGCGTGACAAACATGACAAACTGGGCGTGCTGGAGCTATAACCCAGCTTGAACAGCTTGAAGCTAAGACCAGATCAACCAGCATCACAAGATCAACCAGCGTGACCAACACGACAAACTGGGCATGGATGAGCAATAACCCAGCTTGAAGTTAGGACCAGATCAACCAGCATGACCAGATCATCCAGTGTGACCATCATGACAAAGTGGGCATGCTGGAGCAATAACCCAGCTTGAAGTGAAGACCAGATCAACCACCATTACAAGATCAACCAGCGTGACCAACATGACAAACTGGGCATCGTGGAGTAATAACCTAGCTTGAAGCTAGGACCAGATCAATCAGCATGACCAGATCAACCAGCGTGACCAACATGACAAACTGGCCATGCAGGACCAATAACCCAGCTTGAAGCAGGGACCAGCTTAAGCTGTTTTTTTCTAATAGGGATGGTTAACGGGAATGCCAAATATGTTTATTTTTTAGTTACGTGTGGTCCCTTAGGATGGTTTCGTAGCGGAAGTATGTCAGATAAGAACTTTATCAGAGCGTTGCGCTAGTTCCGATACGACAACTAGGCTCCAGTACAATATACCGAATGACAGTCGCATGTAAGCTCCGAAACCATCTTTGAAACCTTATAGCTCCGATCAAAGTTGACGGTAGGAAATCGTGTCACGCAATGATAGAGCGCTCTCAGGCGATAGCTCCTATAATTAAACAGCAGAATTTATGTCGAATGACTGTGTTATTAAAAGAGCAACGTGTAGTTATTTTCCTATTTTTTTATAAATAAGCAATGACTATACGCCTCGCAAGTGGGCTCATTTTCATCTTCTGCGCATGAGAAGGGAGGCAGCGGTGACGTCAGAACGCCAAGCCCTGATTGGCTGATCGCGACCTTTCGTCTGCCCTCTCTGAAAGGCGAAGTCGAGCTCGCTCGTAAAGACCTGCACATCCGAAAGCCGCAGGAAAGGTAAGACAGACGCAGGCGACGTTGCAAAGGAGCAGGCGACGCTCAGATAGGGGGTCGCGATCAGCCAATCAGGGCTCGTCGTTCTGACGTCACTGCTATCCCCTGAGCAAGAAGTAGACGAAATTTCCCTCCGAATACTTAGGATACGATACAATTCAAAGTTCATTAATTCACCACACAAACACACGTGTTGAATGGGAGGCTGAAGAAAAAGATGAAGAAATGCAGCTCGACGGAACTCCGGACTTCCCATTCAGCAGCTGCGACGGAGTACATAATAAAACGCGTTCAATAAAATAAACGCGAATTAAATTAACAATTTAAGAAAACAGTTGCTAAAGATTCGCATGATATTCATATTTCTTTTAATATATTCAATCAACACGAAAGGTAAAGTATATAACTTGTTTTCTGTCTCCCATCGGCTGTTTGGCACTTTGGAATATGCGAGGGCTGGTAATGTCGAGACAAATAATATATAGTCCTTTCTTGCATCACATAATGGAATTGTACTAGAGGATCTATATGCCGTATTCGCAACTCCAGCGCGCCGCTCGCCGTCCCGCGGACGAACGGGGAACTAGAGGAACGGGGACGGCAGCGGCGGCGGCGGCGCGGAAAAGGAAAAGCCGTTGTAACAAAAAAAGTGAACGCGTCAAAATAATAATTCTTGTGCTCCATCTCGCAACGCGTTGCTCGAAAGACCGGGATGTCTCATTTCATTAGGGACTTTTCGTGTATCGCATACGCTGCGGATTTCTGGTCTTGTGCATGGCCGCCAGCTCAATCTGGGCTCAACGTGACGGCAAACGCTCCCGCTAATAATGTAGAGCTCTAGCGCTCGGTGTGTGAAAAGTCTATTTTTTGCCCTAAGTAGGAGAAAGCTGGTCGCGGAACGATATGTCGAGCAACACATGTCTGGAATGGGTTTGCGTTTTAAGGCCGTAGGAGCATGACCATTTATGACAAGCACTTTTAAAAGATAGAATACGCGTACTTGCTTTCAGGTAATTAGAAAATAAATTAAAAAAAATCCCGAAGCATTTTAAGCGCGTTTGTGTTAGCCGTTCGTGACGAGAGCTTAGAACGGGCAGTTTTGGCGAGATGGGCCACAACGTTGCAAATACCAAGGTACAAAAAAAAAAAAAAAAATATATATATATATATATATATATATATATATATATATATATATATATATATATATATATATATATATATATATATATATATATATATATGCGGTATATAAAATATGCTCCTTTGGTAAAGCAGTAAATAAAACCCCTAAACCCCTAAACACGCCGATTCTGGTAATAGACAGTTTTAGCGGGGCGTTACCGCAGGCTACCGTTGGCTTCCGTGAGCAAGGCAACGCTCCTGGCTCGCGCTGAGAATTGTGCTTCAAAGGCGCAGCGTGAGCTTCCGGTTGTAATGCTACACCGCACGGTAGCCTGCGGTAACAATCTTCCTGTCAATAACCATAGAGCAGTTTGATCACGTGTTGCAATACACTAAAACCGAGACGGTGAGCAGATAGTTTTGAGCCTGTGACACGAACACATTAAAGGGGTGCGGAAACAAAAATTGAAATATTCAAATTTTGTTCGGAAATGGGTCAAGCATGACGGATAATAACCGTAAATGATAATCGCACGTTTGTATTTTGAACGACTGGCTGTATTTCTCGTTCCAAACGGTGCAAGCGCTCGAAGAGAAGCGAACGGAGAGCGCGTTGCGTCATGGGATATCCGGCGCAAACAAAAACAGAAGGAAAAGATTTCCCGCGTTCGTGGAGTAGCAAGGCAGGCGTGGTTATGAGCTTTGCCCTTGGTGGCGTTGTCAGCGTTGTGGTGGTGTCAATAGCGTCAGTGCGTTACAACCGAGCCGTTCAAAGTACCCGTGGGGTGACGAGCGTGTGGCTGGCCCAGGAGCACATAGCTTCCACAACACTGTCAGCTTAGGGCCGAACGGAGTAGGGAAAACAACTTCTGTTCGAGTTTTGAGCGACGGGCTAATCTTCTAGGGGGAGAATGGCTGTTTCCGGTTGCACGAACGAGGGTCCCAGAAAGAGGGGAGTCCTTCCTTTCCGTCTTCTTGGACTGTTTGGTACAATGCGCGACTTGTGAGTTGAGGAGGAGAGCTAAGAGGGAAAATGTTGAAATGCCAAAGAGCGGCGCTGCTCCGAAGGAATCTGCTACGTCACGACTACGTAGCAGATTCCACAACGTTGCTAGACTACCTCTTAAATAGGCTCCGCACGCATCCACCAGGTGCACATTGAAAGATCGTTTCTTTAGCTTTAAAATTACTTTTCTTGTGCCTTTCAACAGAAGACTGGTGTTTTTGAGGTTAGGGTGCAACATGCAACACATTCAAGCTAGAAAATGAGCGCTGGAATTTCGTTTTCCTACCCCTTTAATACTGTGAACGCTGCTCTTCCGAAGCTTGACGGTCGCCGTTTGCGGCTCTCTTTTTAGAGAACTAATGGCCAGGCAAGGCGCAAACACGATATCTACATCACCCTCAAAAATATTCTGCCACAGACAGTGACGTGGCCGGTGCCTAAAACGCGCTCGCCCACTACAAAGCTTCGCAAGTCAAGGTTTCTGCAACATTTAAATATCAGCACGCTCATTTTGCTAACGCGCGTCAACATCTCTGTCACCTGTAATAGGATTCTGCCCTAACCGCTTCGCGTTTGCAGAAAAAAATTAATTTTTTTACCGCGCTGACGCTGTCGGAAACCCTGGAGAATGTATCCCGGTCTCTTCCGCCATCTTGGAACTACCGCCCCGCCACCTATAGGGCGTTGGAGTTGCGAATACTTTTAAGCAATTTTTAAAAGATAATTAAAAATTTGGTGTTAAGTGCTCTGTACAATTTTGTATTAATTTTTATATACTTCGAAGCCACTATTAACGCAAGTTATCACAAAGCAAAACGCGATGTGAAATTTTTTTTATTCAATCGGCTCTTTAACCGGGAAATGTGTTTATTGTTCGCGACCAATAAATTTGCATCAATAAAAAGTAATGTTACGGCTGTGCCTGCCCCGTACGCAGTGTCCGTCCTGGCATTCGCCGAGGCCGAATGTTTTCTCACTTTTCCACAAGAAGCTATATTTTCTTAGGAAATACATCTGCAAAAAAAAAAGAGAAATACACTGTAATTTCATTGCATATTGTATTGTGTGATTAGCACGAAGTATCTTCATTTAATACTGACTATTGTATAGTTTTTTTTTCTTATTTGGTCTTGATTAGAAAGATAAGCGTTATAAGACGTTCAAATTTTAGAATGATTATCTACAGAAGCAATTATTGGTTACGCTGTTTCATCGCAGAAGCATTGCTCAACTTTCATTCACTTAAAAAAGGAAAAAAAAATTCTTGTTCTTCATTTTTCTATGCCTGGAAAATTCAAAACATTAAGTACATTTTGTTAGTACATAAGGCTCGATCATTTTTTCCCATTTAACGATTTAACATTTCCCAGCAATGGCGATTAATCCTGCCAAAGACTCAAAATTGAACGCTGAAATTAATGATACGCTGCCATAAAGCAGTTAAAATTAATTGTCACTCCCAAAGTTGCAATTTTCTTTGGCACTCTTGAATGGGCGCTTTGTGTGTATTCTTAGAGTGCACTTATCGTTTCGTGAAACTATTCTCCTATTACACCGATAAATTATTTATAAAATTATAACTCGGGATTTTGTCTCACTGTGACAGCTCTGCCAGCTCATGCCACTCAGAGAAGACAAGGCCGCAAATCCACGCAGTGCCGCCCTGCCACTACCCCACAGAGTATACGAAGCCTGCACATGACGTCGTTGTTAGTGGGTTTCTGACCCGCCCTCAAACGGCAAACACACAAAGCTTGGGGAAAGTTACCACAAAGCAGCAGACGCGTCCGTCTTGGCGTCACCGCGTGCCAGCGTCGACGCCACAGGTACACAAACAGCGAAAAAAACCTTCCTCCAATAGAAGGTGCGTTGAAGTAAAAAAAGGGTCAACAATGAGGGCTTTCCTTATTGCCTAACGTTCGTAAAACAACGTGCCAAAACTCGTAGGGCCAATATATATAAATATTAATGAAAGAAGAACATTGCGAACACTCCGCTCCCGTAACTATGAATTCCTGTCAGATTGTAAACTGTCGTTTGAAGGTTGGTTCGTCTTAGTTGTTAAAAAATGTAAGTTCTCCCATTCACAAAAAAAAAAAGGTGCAATGTGCCTTGCCTTCGTTTATTCGCACGAAATCGTTTCTTTTTCTTTTTTTAGCTGAATGTTCTCTCGCAATTAAAAACCCAATGAACCCCTGAGTATACCAGTGGTCGTATTTCTCACGATAGGCAATACCGCTAAATAAACTAAACATTCCCAGTCTTATTAATTAACTATCGTTCCACTATAATACATTTGGTTATATATGTCCTAACTCCTGTAAGGCGTCTTTCTTTCGGAGCTTTTTATTATTTCAATATCTTTCCACAACAAAACCACCTAGTACCTAGTTGACCCGCTGATAGAAAATAGTTGTATCTTACGAGGCAAGGGGTTCCGTTAGGAACTTCGTGCTTTCTCTTGTGCCTACACGAGGCCATACATTTTGTTGCAACGAATACCTGAAAGGACACGAAGTGCGGCGTCAGGCAGGGGACCACAGTAAAAATAAAAAAACGCTAGTGGAGAGGTTCTCCTAAATGGCGCGAAATACTCAAAATTACAAAAAGCTGAGCAACGGAACTCTAATTTTTGTTTGTCGAAAGCTTCAGCAGACATGTTGTCTGAGTGACTACGGGCTGCTGGCTTGAAATAATTGACATTGAAAAAGGAGCACAGTAATATGCTGTTAGTGCGATTTGGGTAATATTTTAAATAAAGCCCGCTTGAATTAGGTTTCCTATATGTTTTATACGCTCTAGCACCTAGCTCCAACTTGGTGAAATATATGTGGATTCAATCAATTCCTTTTTTTTTTCTTGTTCATGATAAAACTCAGTACCTGTAAAGCCGTCAGCATATTAAAATCTTAACAAACGCAACATTAAAAAATTCACCAGGTCTACCCATGAAAAGTACAAACAATGCTGTATATTGATGTGTTGCATCTCAAGATCAAACATTTTATAAAACAGCCAACGCCGCAACAACTAAATAGCCCGATGCTTTCTAATGCATAATCTTATCTCTCTAATTACGTAATAATTAAATGTTTTGTGGATAGAAATAAAATGAATACAACAATTAGTACAGTTTGTCAGGGCCAATATGTTCACTTAGGTTTGAAATGAGGTTTTGGATATTGACGAAGAAAGCTCTCATTTAAAGCGCAATTTAATCACAGGTTGAGATACGTGGCATGCTCATATATACATCAGAGTGTGCCGACGTATGCAGTAACCATAAAAATTCTGAATATGCATTTTAATAGTATCACCAACGGACAGTTGGTTTTTGTACGATATTAAGCAAAACATTTATTAGGACGAACTTGTAGTGTAACACGGCATACCCACTTGGGCATTGCTTTATACACCCTCAAACATCAATATGAATAAATTCCAACACGGACTACAAGCATCGCGACACGACTGAATCATTGCAGTATAGAAAACAAACTATAAAAAAGGTGACAACTGCCAGAAATCAAAATTTGGATTTCAGAGTTGGGTAAAGCACGCTATCAACCTAACTGCCTGACGGCAATGTTAAAGGTTTTTGAATTTTGAACAGAACCTTCTGATTCGAGACACGTTTTCATACCATGTACTACAAAAACAATCAAAAATTCAAAATAAATATGTGGCCTAGTTCTTAGGTGCAGCCAGGCTCGGGTTGCAAGTTGGATGCAGTGTGTGATTGAATAACTGTACTTGAAATTCTTTTAGGTATGATTTGTAGCACTAATTTATTGTATGCTTGTTCTTATAAATATTATTCCATTAATTTTCGGCATTAGTGATTTTGATATTGGCAGTACAAAATACAATTATTTTCGGAATAACTTTTTAACGCAGGCAATCGCTCCTCGAGCCACTGCAAAAGCATTTGTATCAAAACTGACCCGATGCTGGTTTAAAGGAATTACGATTTTATATTAAATTGCCGTAACTGTATGAATCTCTCAATCATTTAAGTGACGTAAAAATAATGAAGCAATACACTAATTTTATAAAACTCAGAAATCCTATTGTATGGCTAATTAACACGGTGGAAAATAATACCAAATATGGCAAAGGTAAGACATTATACTCGAACAATGGAGCAAAGCACAAATAAATACACTTCATTGCAAAACTTTTATGTTCCCAAAGTTAGACAGTAATAGTAATTATGAAGTGATTGCATTACTTGCTAAACGAAGTATTTGGTTACTTTCTGTGCAGTCGTAATTTTACAATCACGAATTTTTATAGCACTTCCCTAGTGAAAAAAGTCATTTGTATGAGACATTTCTCGTGTCCAATAAACACATATGAATCACACAACATATATAAGAATGTATAAGAACCATATAAGAGCTATATAAGAATTATATAAGAACTATATAAGATATATAAGAACCATATAAGAAATATATAAGAAACGTCTCCTAAGTTTTTTATATGGTGCGTGTATGTTCTTATATACCTTGTATAGTTCTTAAATAGTTCTTATATGGTTCTTATATGCTCTTATATATCTTGTATGATTCATATGTGTTTATTGGACACAAAAATTTCTCATACAAATAAGAATTTTCAATAGGGTTGCTTTAAATGTGATTACAATACAGTTCAAAACTAATTACAGCTTAAAGATAGTTAATTCAAGAATGAATGCAATTACACGATTAGACAGAGGCAGCTGAAGTCGCTTATTGATTGTTAAGTTTATCAGCCTCGAAGCATCGTATCAAAGCTTTAGAAGTTTAGATAATTATATGTTTGTAGACAGGTTTAATGATCATGTTGTATTCTTACGGTGCCACTAAAATTTTAAAAAAAAATCGTGAAGAAAAAAAAAATTATATGCCTACATTACGAATCAATCGTTGATTCCTCTTCTCACTACTGAAACAAGGTTTAATGTTTCATGCAAAAAAACATTGTTTTGGATGTTTACTTACCCCGCTTTCGACCTCAAAGTCCTTGACACGACAACCCACGTCAGCGGGGTCATGAGGCTTGTGCTGAAATAGGCCTGCGGTATTTGGATGTCACAGTCACGATCATCACCGTTTTTTTTTTCTTACTAAGAACGTATATGCTGTAAGTCCTCGCTCTACGTAGCAGCGCGAATTATTATACATGTTAATACCGAACACTCAGTAATTTTGTATTAAATATGATAGCAGTTCATTTACTATAAGCACATGATTATAAGCTCTCTACAACAGGTTATCTAATTTACAAATATATTTGACTGTTACCCGAAAATAAACCCTTTCTTTGCAGGAGTCTCGCCAAACTACACAAAAACACAGCAGTTCTCTTTTGCTCGTTTATTTTTATGCTCTTATATTTTTCTAACGTAAGAGACAATTTCTTGACATTTCGATGTGTATTCAAAGCGTAGCTATACGTACAACTGTATTTTTCTGTGGGCAAAGAGTAATTGAACATTCCATCTTCTTGGTCCCCGGTTCTCGGAACGGATTCGTAAAGACAGAACTTCATTTCTTTTTGTTTTCTTTTTTTTTTAAGCCAGGGGCTTTGAACATTGTCAATATTCTTAGGTACTTTCTTCAAAATGTTCATGATACACCAAAACCTACGGGCATCGCCGGGCGGGCAGTTGTATAATCGAGTGGTTTGCAGTCACAGAAAGTTCGGAAGTGTGCATTCTGTAGATCGACCAAGCGCGCGGATTTGTTCAAATGTTGGAAAAGGGTCTGATATGTTTAATAAGGTAAATTGAAGCCTGCGCGTCGCTTTTTTTGTAATAACACCACTAGTTTAAAACGATCGTTCGTACCTCATAAGCTTCGTGTTGTTTTGCTTCAAAGCAATCTACACTGTTGAAGTATTTTGTGTCAAAAAAGACGGAGAAAAGGAAAAACAACGTACTCTTTCTAATACATGTACCGTTTGCACATACTCCCACGGTACTGACTTGTCTCGTAAACAGACCGGATGAGTGTTCCAGCTGAAATAACGTAACGATGTTACAACAGGGAATTTTAGGCTTCTCGTAATAGTTATATGATAACCATAAATAATGATACAGAATTGTATCTTTATACCACAAACTATTGTATAAATATTTCTTTAAAAAAAAATATTGCGGACCGTTTACTGCGGTCTTTGCGAAATAAACGTCCTGCATCTTCATGAAACGAAACAAAATACTTACACGCTGGGTATACAAGCACAAAAGAAAAGAGAATTAAGAGTTTCTAAACATTATAATTTCCGAAAACGTGTTTTAGAATGACAGCATGAAGATGATGGAACAGATTAGACTATTTCACCTCGTTCCTCAATTCAGCTTTATAATATTATTAATATTATTAATTTTGTTGAATTATCTACACATATTTAGGCCAAGTTTCACGCGGGACTTGTCACATCATCGTTTAGTCAAAATGATTGGTCTTCAAGAGCATTGATAGACAACGCCGCAGATATCATACACTAATATCCATAAGAAGCACTATTTCCAGTGTCCTCAGAATAGATGGTGTTGATTATTCAAATAGAACACTTGCAAATATGTTTAATGCTCATTTTTTTACATTCAGGCGCTCCAACGTCATCCTCGTTCCAAAAAAAAAAAATTTTGAATTTGATATGTCGACAAGCCCACCAGTATCTATATCTTTATCACCAACCACGGGAACCAAAGTTTTAACGTGATAAATTCATTAAAAACAGCGGCGCATCTTGCGATGATGAAATCAGAGTTGAACCTATAAAAGCAATTGCTAATATAATTAGTCTTCCTTTCTCTGCAATCTGTGATAAAATATTAAGCACAGGGGACTTTCCTCGGAAACTAATGATCGCCCGAGTATCAGTGATACACAAAGGTGGACCAATTAATACTTTAAACAACCACAGACCCATATCCGTATTACCAAAATTCTCAAAAGTAATAGAGAAGATAATAAATTCCAGACTGATATATCATTTTAGCAGAAATAATCTCCTTGTAAAACAGCAATATGGTTTTCAGAAAAAGAAATCTACTGAAGAAGCTTTACTGAATATTAAGAATAAAATTTTAACTATAGTCGGTTACAAGTCAAGAAGGTAGGAGAAGCTCCTCCCACAAGTGTGATGCGCCCGTTTCAAATCTCTCCGCAGTCGAAAGAAGAGTTCACTGGAAACGCTCCTTGTTCCGCTTCAATGGATTCCCACTTGTCTCCGATCCCACTTTTTAAGAAAGCGACCTTTGTATTCATCGGAGAGGGAACCGTGCCCCTGACAGCAGCCTTTGTATCCATCGGGGGGGGGAAGCTAATTCATAATGGAACAGCGCGAATTATTGCAAGGACAGGAGAAGGAACTGGACAGGACGAGCCCAGTTCCTTCTCCTGTCCTTGCAATAATTCGCGCTGTTCCATTATGAATCCATACCAACTCGCCCAGTTATCCTGTTTGGGAAGCTAATCCCCGAAAGTAGTATTTGTTTCCGTCGGTGGGTGAGAACTCTAATCTCCCTCTCGTGGCTTCCACAATGGCAATGCTAAGTCAAAGCCGAAAGATAAAGCAAATATGTACAAAAAGGCAAGACCCTCCTCGCGCGTTGGCCGCGACATCACGGAAACGGTGGGACGCTATTGGATGCGGAGGTGGCGGAGGGATATCTGATTCCCTTTGAGGGGCATTTGCCGCTACCTTCTTAACCTGTAACTGACTATAATTTTGAAACCAAGCTTTATACATTAGGGGTATTTTTAGATTTCAAAAAAGCCTTCGATTCGATAAAGCATGAAAAAACTCTTAAAAAGCTTTATAATTATGGTATAAGAGGTCTTGCCCTACAACTCATTCAGAGTTATTTATCAGAATGTCTCCAATACACCACTCTTGGTTGCGAAAAATCAGAAACCGGTAATATACATTATGGGGTTCCCCAAGGATCAATCCTCGGACCACTTCTATTTCTGATGTACATTAATGATATTGTTAACATACCACATACTCCTGATATTGTACTTTATGCAGATGACACAAATGTACTTTTTTCAGGTACGAACATAGATCAGCTTGAAACATTAGCGAACAACTGGATGATAAAGTTAAGTAGGTGGTTGGCGTGCAATGAATTAGAATTAAACGTCAAAAAAACTAAACATATAATATTTAGAACAAAAAAATAGAAATATTAATCAAAAACTAAGCATTCTATTTAGGAACACTGAAATTTGTTACGTAAAAACCTACAAGTTTTTAGGAGTATTTTTCCGAGAAAATTTAAATTGGTCTTACCATATTGACCGGATTCGACCCGACATATCACGGGCAATCGGAACTATAAGTAGGCTAAAATATATTTTTCCGGTTTGGTTAAAGCGCCAGCTCTATTACACTCTTGTTCGTTCTCGTTTAAGCTATTGCAGTTTAGTATGGGGTACATTCTCAAAGACCCGTGTATCTCAGTTACTTCTATTTCAAAAAAGAGCAGTGCGCTCAATCGCCAATGTATCATATCGGGAACGCTCCCGCCCATATTTCATAAAATACTCCCTTTTTACAGTAGAACAATCCCTCGCACAGAAATTGGCAATATACATGTTTCAAAAAATTAAACTACACCCCGAGTTCGTGCAAGTGAATTACAAAAACAGGGCATACCCATACACCTTCCGTCATACGCACTACCTACAGTCGAGAATACGCACCAATTATGGTAGTCAAGATATACTTGATCAGATCGCACAATTATTAAATAACCATCCCGAAATACTATCCATGATTAATAGCTATAATACAATACACACATTTAGAACCACCATACAAAGTTTTCTTCTCCGTCTGACATAATCTGTGTTGGTATTCGTGTCTGTTTCTGTTTTATTATATCACAGTTTGAATATGTCACTGTGTCTTTGTGTAATGGTAAAATTGTTTTGATTCGTTTTTTTTTGTACATTTTGTTGCTGGACTGTACAGGAGGACGGGCCCTTGTTAGGCGACCAAGTCGCCTTTTGTCCTATCCTCCGAGACGTTTGTCTGAATAAAGTATATTCAATTCAAAAAAAAAAGTTTGCAACGAAACACGCAATAAAAGGCGAAACTGAGGGAGGTGACGTCGCCGAGCGCTGACTGGAATGATCAGTGGATAGAAGACACTCTGGCAGAGGTAATCTAGCTGCATTTGTTTCTACTCGTTCTTCGAACGCGTTCGATTTCTCAACGCCGGCATCTGGCGTTTGGCGTTCGCCTTCGAAAGCGTTCGAAGTGGGAGTGGAGACAAAGGCAGCCAGCTTTACCCACCCATCATTCCAGTCAGAGCTCGGCGTTTTGTCGTCCTCAGTTTCTCGGCACATAGTCCCTGACAGAATGAGAAAGGCAGGGAAGTCTTTGAGTCGTCTCGTCCCCAGCGCCAGCTTCTCACCTTCGACTACCCTTCGACGTCTCTTGAGCCTCGAGCGGACACGCGTCGCCGAAGAACATCGACAGGCAGCGAGACCGTGCTGAGGTAGCTTGCCGTTCTGATATATTCAGCGAGGTGTGATAGTTTTTTCTCTCAGCAATAATGTATGTATATATATATATATATATATATATATATATATATATATATATATATATATATATATATATATATATATATATATATACATACATATATATATATATATATATATAAGTCAAGGATGCGTACTGTCGCATCTTTGACTTATTAGCTTTTCCCGGTCCATTGTTTTTATATTTACTTTACTTCACCTATATATATATATATATTGTAATTGTATATTGGTTGCAAATGAGAAACCCCAAACTTACCAAGTAATATTTGAAATCATTTTGCACTCTTTTTTAAACAAAAATGCTTTTGAGCATTACTTACCGTGCACATTGTCCCATCATCACGGTTTCGGGTACTTCCGTTTGGGCAAGTCATCTTGCAGGTTTTTGCGACAGTTATCTGTAAGAGTCAAATTTAAGTCAGACCTCCAAATTTAAAATACACCGGCTCTTAAGCTAAACGTTCATAAATCGCGGAATTCATAAATCACCACTGAGTTACAAATAAGAGCACCAGCTTTTATATGCATACTTTGGTGCCAAACTTACTGGGAAAGCCGCCACTCCCGATTTGAGTGGGTGTTTTCTTCTTGTAAAACTGTGTCAAAGGCGGCACTATATCGCACCATAAACATCCTAAAGGCTTCCGAAAGCAAGAGGCCAAAGTTAAGAGGATACCCGCTGTTTTAAACACTTTAAGAACTAATCATATAAAAAGGCATGCAGCGAAGTTCGTTTATTCTTTCTAAGAGTCGCTTTACAATTTGTAAATAGCTTGGAGAAGCACACAAAAATTCAGACTGATATACTTTTCCTTCATCACGTAAACATCTTTTCTTCGTTCGTCGAAAAAACACACGTTCATAGTTTGGAAACGGGGTGTTTTAAAATAGGAAGCAGTCATGCAAGGTCCCCTTCCCTGCAAAGTCATTCGGCAACCATGTTGAGGTATCAATGTATTTGAAAGTGGTTGAGGTATCAATGTCTTTGATAAGGTATATCTCTCACCCCACTAACCTCGCTAATTTTTTCGGCGCTCAGCTTGGCGGTACTATGTCTTAACACGCTAACTGTGTCACGTTTTGACATGAAAGACACGCAGAGTGTCAGAAAACATGGTGCAAGAAACAAAAAACTACCCCTAGTTATTTACAATTGTTTTATTTTTCTCCGAGAAAAGGCTTTGCTCAAATCAGGAAAGCTTTTGACTGACCGATCAATAGCCGGTGAGGGCAGGGAGCAGCGGCAACCAAAAGCGAATGTCAACAATATTGTAATTGTAAAACGCATTTACTATACTTCGCTTCAGCTTCAGCCCAGATGCAGCCGACGCTTCGAGAAAATGGGACCAATCAAGCAGCAGTCGAAAGCGCAATCACTGGGCCTTTCTTGCTTATGATTGGCTGAGCGATGATAAAACCCGTACAGAAACATGATGAACACAAGCTTGGTGAGATTTTTATGCTGTTTGACTGGTCCCATCACCTCGTAGTGTCGGCTGCATCTAAACTTAAAAAAAAAAAAAACACTAAAACTAATTTACAAAAAGAATAATACTTTTCCTACAAAAAAAAAAAAAGTTTTATGCAATATTTGCACTGTTGGATTTAATTTAAGTAGGGGCTTCCCTGCTCTAGGTCCCGCCCGGTGCTTACAAAACTAAGCACGTTTTCTCTACTCACATTGGTTGGAGAGATGATTGACGCGTGAAATATTCGTTGTAAAATTGTTTCTTTTTGCCCCAATAGTATTTATATCGATAATATTTTTATGTTTGAAGAAGAAATCATCTAGGTATAGTCATGCTTGTTTTCAAAAATATCCCGAGACTGCCTTTCCGCTTCGGCTTCAAAGGATACCAGACATGACTGATGGAGTTTGCGATGTGCTCAACGAGCGTAGCTAGCAGAGCTTGTTTATTTTTATGAGTGCGACTCGTTCTGCGTTCACCGTGGTCATTGTAGGAAGATGTCGTCAACCAATATAGTATGCAGCAAACAACTATCACAAGTACGCTTCCCCGAAAGCGCAGTGAGGGGTTCGTTGCGAAACTGGCTTAAGCCTAGCGTCCCACGCCTTCCGAAACTCTGTTCGCGCATGGTCCCTGCACCGCGCCTCCGACTGGTGTGTTTAGGGTCTTATCGGCCCACTCATCAAAAGTGGTACCGAAGTAGAAACAAATGGCGTCTCAGAAGCCGGAATGTCATACTGTTACATGTCGCGATCCTAGTGATGTGTCGTAGAAATGCTGGCGAAAAGCACAAACGAACGCGAGTGTCGCTGTCGTAACGGCGTCGCTATGTGTCCCAGGCGTCGTAACTTCCGGCTCCTGCAGCTTCCGCGGACGATCATAATAAAGAGCTATCTGCAGCAGAACAGGCCTTTGCTACATCCACCACAGCTGCTGGGACACCGCCAGGGTCGCGACCAGCGACAGCATGACACTTTTATGACGTCATAAAGCGGAAATCGAGGGACCACTTCTTTGGACGCAGTAAACACACCATTCGGAGACGCATTCCAGGCACCATAATTCGAGTGCTTGTATTCGTAACGGGACTGACCTAAGCTAGCGTCCTACGTCAACTATGTAGCTAGATCTGGCTTGATTTGTTCCTTTGTGCGTGTTGGTGCTGAATAAAGATGTTGGTTCCCGTGCAAGCGCCCCTCAGCTCTGTGAATTGTGCAACATTATGATTGCAACTATGGTTTAATACCGAGAAGATAACTACATTGGTAAGAATTCGCGAGCCACTTGGCTGAAGGCAATCGCGAATTTGACTCGCATATCAAGCTCATCTTTGTTACGGTCATTTCGCTTCGAAGGGCAAGTAGCTCTCAAGTTTTACATGGCCTTCCAAAGCAAATATTTTAAGTAATTTTTAATGGTGCGTCATAACGGCCGCGGATGTCATGCGAAAACAAAAAACAAGAACATTAAAGCTGAAATCACTGCATATTTATTTTTTTGTCTTTTTTGGAAGCTTTCTACTGCACATCGGCAGGCAATGACAGACGCTTCTTTGCGGCGTGCAAATTCGTCTGCTTTGGGTTGTGATGGCGTCAGAACGCCAAGCTTCTGATTGGCTCTGATTGAAAGATGGTAGGTAAACTTCAAGGGAACTTGTTTTGAAGCCTATCAGAGCCAATCAGAGTTTTGCATTCTGACGTTTGGTGGGCACCACTGCAAAAGAAGCAGACGAACTTGCCTTCCGCATTGAACACTGGATCGTGCATGATGGAACGCTAGAACGCCGCTTGCGTGGTCGAGTCTTTCCAGCGTTGTGAAAGTTTTTAGACGGTGGCGGAATATCAGACGGACGAAGGCGAAAACGGACGCCGACGTGTAGCGTTCATGTCCGCATCTTACGGGCATTGCAGACGACGATAGACGGTGGTGAAGTAAGACAATGCCGGAGGCTGCCGCGCGTCTGCTCGCAAGGTTAGCAGGCGGCGTCAGACGCCAGACTGAAGCACCGGATGTCGCGCATAGGAGACACTGGGCTTGTAGCGTGTTCAGCCGAGCAGCCAAGCCAACCCAGTAGTAATGGGCAGGCTAGAGTCGCTGAATGTTCCCAGAGTACCGACGCTCCCAAGCTTCGTTTCAGAACCGAGTTGTGGTGCAGCAGTCACGCTCTAACCCATCCTCAATATGGCGCTGCCACTTTCCTGATCTGTATCGACACTACTTTGTTTTATTAAAGCTCTCATCTTTCTTTCGAGTGGCGCGTGACTTGCTTCTCGCTGTCTCGTCTCTCTCTCTCGCCTCGAAAAACATCGAAGTCGAGTGTTAGGCTTTGCGTCTAAGGCGTAGAGTTTAAAACGCAACATTAGCGCAACCGGAGTGAGCAAACGAGCCGGCAATCATATTTTGCCAACCACATTAACAACTACATAATAAAAAATCTAGAGAAAATCAGCACACCTTCCGTTAGGTCTTAACTCAACGATGCCATCTTCCAACCGTGTGTACCCGACGTACTCGTGGTAACGCGGAAATGTTTCATATATGTTTTGTAGCGTTAGTTACACTCGCCGAAGTTGAGCAGTTTCGCGTGGCTCCCAAAGAGCCGTGCTGCGCAAACGCGAAGAGCAGTGACGTCACACGGCGCACAGCTGGCGCGCCGGAGACGCCGCCGCCGCGCGCGCCTCACCGGTCTGCGCATGCGCGAGGAGCAGTGACGTCACACGGCGCACAGCTGGCGTGCCGATGCCGCCGCCGCCGCGCTCTCCGCCGCCAGCGCGCGCCAGAGACGTATATGTAGAGAGTTTGGCCATTCGTTTGAAAGTATACACCTTTCCAAAAAACACTCGACCCCAGGGGCAACAAACCGTTTTCGAGCCCAGTCACTGAGTTTGAGGCTAGACTCTCACCGGCGTCCCTCCTAACCCTAACCGAGTGGACTGTGATTTCAATAGGCCCAGCCTGCGTAGGTGCACTTTCAAACGCTGCTGGCGGCTAAATTCTCGTCTTTTCCCGCTATATTTTGTGTTTCATGGTGCATGTACTTTCCCGAGGACATTGAGAAAGCATTGCGCCTGATGTAAAAAAACAAAAAAAGCAAAAAACAAACAAACAAGAAAACTAAACTATTTTTGGGTACGCGCGCGACAGAACGAATGCGACTGGAATTAATAGTTCTAGTTATTTTTTTTTTTTCTTACGATAAGTTTTGACGGCGCTGCGGGATTCGCCGCATGCGAAACGATAAAGCGCTTTGCTGTCAAAAATAAATCGCAACAGAAGAGGGCCGAAAGGCATGCATTTTTCACGCTCACAAATAACGTGTTTAACGATGGACAGGACACGGACATACAATTGAGGAAGTGTTAACATTCGAAAAATATATCTTACGTACCACATGATGCAGCGTTATCCGAAAAGAATTTATTTTGGAAATATCTCAAATAACACAGTCACAGTCGACGACAGGCACACCTTGACGACCGGACGGAATCCGAGATGACTTCGTTTTGGGGAGAGCTTCCTTTTTTCACAACCGCACCAAGGCAAAGAAACAAACGCGACTGACCCGTTTCTCACCCCAACCCGGACAACTATTTTTAAAGACGACTGAGGTTTTTACGCGGATTATCTCTGGGAGGGTGGAGAACAATGTTCGCAAAATCGCGTCGAGGGTCGTTCGACGTCCTTTATCTCCTTCGTTTCCCGTGAATGTCGAGCAGAAAAGCTTGAATGGCAGGCACTTACCAGCCTTATTTTTCGCAATGGAAGATAACACAGAAAGGGTACGCAGCACGCATAAAAAAAAAAATAAGTGGAAACTTTCAAGAGGTGCGAGAAAACGTCGAATGCAAACCCGCGAAAACGCAGGTAGAGAACCGCGCTGAGCGGGTCTTCACAGTCCCAGAGAGTGGCAGAAAATTTCTAGCTGATAGAGGGCGCGAGAGTCGCACCAGCCGCATCAGCATCAGCAACATGGCGGCGGTCGAGGAGCGTTTTTTGGAAAGGTGTATAGGAGACAAATGAGGAGGCGCCATTGGCCGAAAGCGGGCTGGGCGTGCTCCAAGGCGTCTTCAGAAATTCGACTTCAGAAATTTGTTTCTCGCGACCACCCTGGCGGTGGTCGCGAGAAACAAACCTGATAAGTGCATCGGAGTAACTCCCAGTGACTGGAAGTATGGTACACGTGATGTTTCAATCGCGCTCATCCAAAATGATGGTGGAAGAGTGCGACTAGCGGAACGATCGACATAATCTTTACGCCAAGCGCCGAGGGCCGGGAATCTGCCGTCCGGGTGGTCACACTCTGTCCGAGCAAAAAAGAGTTGAGCGGCGCATTCGTTTCTTACATCTTTCTGCATTATCATGATCGAAATTTAATATTTATGTGAACGATCTTTCTAGTACCGTGCCCACTTCAATATTTCAATATGCGGACGATACTGTAATTGTAGCCTGCGCTTCTAAGTATTTGCACGCAATCTCTTTGCTTCAAAATGCGGCAAATAGGGCAATGGACTGGTTTGATGCAAATTTAATTTCTATTAATACGACAAAAACTCAACTAATTTGTTTTCATAGCCCATTAAAACGAGTCAGTCTCACTTCTCCGCTTTTTTTGCACACGTCTAATTGTCTTAATTGCGCGTGTACCCCTGTGAAATACACATCTACAGTTAAATACCTTGGTTTGATTTTTGATAGCGATCTTGCCTGGAATTCACAGCTTGCTCATATCTGTAAGAAGCTTCGCGCGGTGTCTTGTTTGATGTACAGTGTTAGATACGTTATGCCATTATCCGTTCGTAAGGTTATCATTCATGCCCTGGGCTATAGTGTGCTTCGTTATGGAATAACTGTGTACGGCCACTGTGCCCTTCGATGGAAAATAAGAATCAATTCAATTTTGCGTTCTTTGCTAAAAGTTATTTCTTATGATTTAAGTCTTGATAAAGATACTGACGTATTTAGAGCATTATGCTTTCCGGATTTCGACTCTCTGTTGATAGAAACTGTTGTTTTCCGTCATTTCTGGAATAGTTCTTTTAAAGTACCTTATGCCCCAGCCCGTTGCCTAAGGCCAAAAAAACGTTACTGTATACCTCGGTGCAGCACAAGATATGGCGAACGCATGCGCCGTTACTATGTTCCCTCGTATTTTAACAAGCTTCCTATGAGTATTTTTTGTGCTAGTACAAAATACAAACTGAAAAAAGCGCTCAGAAATAGAATTGTATAAAGATTTCTTTTCTGTGCGTGTCATAGCTTGATTTATCTATGTGGGGGTTTTGTGTTTTACTGTCATTGCTTTATTTTGTCACTGTCTGCCAGGCACTACCTTTCAAGCCCGATGAGGCTTCGGTAGGCCTGAATCTGTACATGCTATTTTTTCATTCAATAAAAGTATTATTATTATTATTATTAAACATCACGTACACCCTATTTTCAACTACGAAGAGTTACTACACTTCACCCTTACGCGCTTATTAAAACCATTTACGAACATAGACCTTTGATCAGAACTGTTTCTCGCCACCACCGCAAGGGGATTCTTTTCGGCCTTTGGTTGGTCAAGAGAGCGTGCCAAGCCCTCTATCCGAGTCTCGTGCACGCCCTGGCTTTGCCCGCATCTCCTATTGACCAAACACTCTGATTACACGGCTCTGGCGGGCGCGCCTCGCCGGTCTGCGCATTCCAGAGGAGTGACGTCATAGCCGCGGCAGACGCACTGGCGCCGCCGCGTGCCCAGCTGTGCGCCTCCGTTGCGCAGTAGTCAAGTCTAACGCTGCACCGGAGCCGCTTAATAGCGCCTCTCATTTTGTGCGCATAAGCTCACGCTAGTATATCCTGGCATAGCCGAGCTAAACCACCGCAATTTTAGGGGCAAAGCTCCTTAGGGTTCCTTGTCCGGTGTCCGGTGCACTGCCTCCGAAATCGGCCCACTTAAAGAGAGAAAAAAAACACGAACGCCCGCACGGGGGTTCGCACTCAGGACCGCTTGCTTACGAGGCAGACGTCCTAAGTCCAACGCTACACTCCAACGTTGCATGTAGCCTCTCAACGCCTATACGGGAGAGGACGCTGCGGTCAAATGCGTATATAATCGCGTTAAACTTTGCATGCATTGGCTCAACGTTTATAGATAAGAGGGCGCTGCGGTCAAAGGCTCAACTGCGTATATAACCACGATCCATACCACTCATACTCTTTCTGACATGGACCGTTGACTTCAGTGGAGATGCGTTCCCACGGCTTCTAGCAAATCCAAGCTGATCCGCTAGAAGAATCACTGGCTCTGCATTTCACCGACCATAAGGTAATAATGAAGTCGAAACTCAACCCGGAACTCAGCATTACCTATGAGCAATAAAAAAAAATCAGCACCATCAGCATTACCTATGAACAATAAAATCAGTATCATCATCACACCAGAGCTTCGCCCCAATCAACATTATTCACCACGTGGAGATGCGTCCATTTTCTTTTTCTCGTGTTGGACCCATCACCAAAATGGCGGACTGATAACTTCCCCCAAGGGCTAAACAAGCCACTCAGAACTGGATTCTGCGGGACTGACTTCTAGTAGGTGGACCGAATGAAATTTGGTACTCTTAGAACATTCAGTGACTCTAGGCGGGGCCACTGATCTTTGGGAGGGGCTTAAAGCGTGCTGTGACCTTCACCTAAATTGCGTCTATAAACGTAAATATCGCGCGGAAAATTTGTTAAAAAATGTACATGTCCCATCTATGCCCTTTAAAAAAAAACTTTTTTTTTTCATTTCGGTGTTTTTAAGGTGAAACGAAGTATAGAACTGTCGGGATGGGTTCAAGGCCCATTACCGTACGTTACATGCTACTTTAGTATAGCATGCATGTTGTAATAATTATTATGCATGCTTAAACAACGATGTTTACGTATTTTGGACACTTACCGAATAATCCAATAGTTCGTTCGGTGAAGTGCAGCCATCGGTGGTAACTTCAGCCGGCGTAAATTTCTTAGACAACCCTAGAACGAAAATTAATTGGTTAGCCTTAAGATACTAATCACAAAACGCATAAATAGTGTGGATTTCAATAACCACGAACATAATATATACATTACGGAGTTTGAGCGGTTTTCATACAAACCTTTAAAACTTTACTGAGGCGATAAATGAATTTGTTTACGATTAAAATGAACCACATGAAACGTAAGCTGGCGTCGATAAAGCGCAGGGATGAGGTCTTATTTTCATTGCTTATGCTTGACAAATCAGTTGCCCTACTTTAGCCACGTAAATCAACCAATAAATTAATACAATAATCAAACAGCGTTAGAAAAACTATTTTAACGTTGAGAGTTTTTGAAGTCAGTCATTATACATCTGGATTTTATAAATCTGTATCATAAATCTGGCATTATTCGTACGAAGGTTTAACGTTTACGCTTAGGGACGATTTCCGAATTTGTCGCTCCCCCTCGTCTTCAAGCAACTTACTGCAGGTGTAATTTCAAGCTATTTTCTAGAACGTCTTCAACTTGTTAGTTTTCTGCGTGTTTCTTTTTCTATTTTTGTTCGCTGAATTTTCGGCTGGTGCCACCGGCCTTTCATTTTCAAGTCTACTATTGGGGACCAATCGGGTACCCCCAGTGCAACATGCGTCTTACCCCCAAGCCGGCAATCTAACAAAAAAGGTTTCGTTGTTGCTGTTATTAATATTTCTTGTATATGTAGTCTACTTTTGGTTTTATGTGAGATTTTAAATTAGCAACATTACTAAGCAGGCACAAGGAAAAGAGGGATACTCACTATGATACTTCGCGCATTCAGCACAGGAAAAACCCTGGCGTTCCTCTCTTGTTTAGCAAATCACATCTTTGTCTTCCTTTTTTTTAATGCTAGATTCCCCATTACATGCAACTATGCTGTCCTTCCTTCTGCCTTTATGAGTCCGCACAGATAACGAGAAATTGAAACGGTTCCGTACTTGCGAGAAAAAAAAAAAAACTAAATCGTCTTTGTTTGGCCTCCGGCATTACGAATATCAAAATGATATTTCAGATTCATACGCCAAGTGTCCACAACAGCGCTTTCAAAACGGCGCTAAAGCCCCTCCTTCCCTTCGCGTTCGGTGCGAGGAGGGAATCATGACGTACCATGCCAATATCTCAACATTTCCGCGCTTTTCGCAGGCCTTGCCCGAACAGTCAAAAACGCTGCACGCATTCCCTCACAAGCGGCACGCGCAAGGCAGCCTTAACCTCTGGGTATGACGTCACACTTTGAGTTTTCAGCTTTCCTCCCTGTAGGAGCCAGCTCCGAGAGATGAAAGCATTTCTTTTTTGCTTTTTCTAAGCTCGCTGCGCGAGCTTCCTGATGCGCGAGAAATCTCGCCTATTGATACGCTCGAGTCAAACACTCGTGATATTCAAGTTTAAGGGCAAAAATGCGCTACAATCAACGTCTAACTCGTTGTTGTTGTTGTTGTTTTCAAGACCCTCTTTAACTTTTTTTAACAAGTCAGGTGACTCAATACAACGCACTACCGCTGCTAGAAAACGTACAACATTGCTCTGGCAAGGACTCTATCCATCGACGCTGGAATAGCGGATGTTCTGTACTTCACTTGCGCAATACATGGCGCCGGGTATAAGAAAACTCCATGAAACAACTACGCGCTGTAAAAAATAAGAAGTAATTTGGTACACTTTTTACTACTTTGGCCACTGAGCAATCCTTGCAAATTTAGGTAATAATGAAAACGATTGACATTTTTTTTTTTTTTTCAGTGATGTCCAAGTGTTGAGCTAAAAACCTCGAAACCAGTGATTATTCACTTAAAGTTCAATTTCAGAAGGAATGAATAACCATGCACAGTAATGTCACGTGTCAGCGAACCGTTATCCTCGTCTATAAAAATATTTAAGCATACTATTATTAATGAAACTGCGTATTCCGAAAGAGGGTACAATACTTACGTATAGACGAACACAATCCCTGTTGACAAACGCCTATCGTGTCCACCTTCGTCTTTCCAAATAATTTTTTTGTTTTAATGCGCTAAATATGCAGAAAAGAAGGATTGAGAGCAATACGTTCTCATTTAAACAACCAGCTTGTAGATTGTGATGTTTTTTGGGGGTTCCTCGACAAACGTAATTGATACTAGAATTCCGCCAATGTACGTAAATTGTGAATTAGAGTAATTTACGGTTCCGGTTTTCAGGCAAATTATTAAAACTTTGCTTAGCACTGAAAGCAGTCCATCTGTTTATGACTAATTTTCTTTCTTCCTTCGCTGAATCTGGATGAAAAGTGTACGTGTTTCTGTACAGTAATCGAACACAAAAGTACAAAACATCAATTTTAAATATTACTGATATCACTTCACGAATAGATGTACGACCTCAAAAACTATTAGAAGAGCCAATTAGCTTAAAATGCTCAAAATATTTAATTTATGTAACCTTTAACGGCACTTACCAGTGTTTACTATCTAAGAACTTAGAAGACTATAGGCGAAACCGTTCACGATAAAAAAATGCATAAGGTAATTGAAAAATTGACTAACGAAAACAGAGAACTACACGGTTCCTGCTATCAATACGTTCTTGACAAGTGAAAATACAAATGCATTTGGTGGCACAAGCAGATCCGACACTGTAAAACAAACCGGAGCAATCGGCAGTTGCCCTTAGAAATCTCAACCTTTCACCGAATGTACACTGAGCAGGTCAGTTTCAACCGTAAGAAATTTTAATGCGTAGTTCACACCCTGTAAAAAAAAAAAAAATAATAACATACTTGCCAAAGTCAACGTCGGGCGCGTTTGCCACGACCCCGTTAGCGACACTATGAACTTGTGGCGCCATCTTGATCCCAATAGGTGCAGTGATCAGAAACGAGTGTTTCGTCTGCTCGCTGCGCCTACCTGGACATGGCGCCACAAGTTAATAGCGTCGCTAACTCGATCATGTGCGAACGCGTTCGACGCTGACTTTAGAAGGTGTGTTGCTCTCATTTCTTACAGGAAAAGAAGTATGCCGTGAAGTTTTACATGGAAAACCTAACCTCCGCAGTGCAAATTTGGTGAAGGTTTGAGCTTTTCATGTGCAGACGCCGATTTTTCCGGCTCGTTTTGCAGCATCGGATGCACTTGTGCCACCCTGTACAAACGAAGCGGAGCGCAAGTTCGTCTGCTTCTTGCACAGGAGTTGCATTGATGTCAGAACGCCGACTTGTGATTGGCTGATCGAAGAGAATACTGGGTAGACCTTGAGGCATCCAGCACTCAGGTGTGCACACTATGCTTCCAATCAAAACCAATCAGAACTGGGCGTCGTTCTGACGTTACCACGACCCCTGCGCAAGAAACAGCCGACTTGCTCACCGAATTGTCTACAGATGCGTAGACATATTGGTACTTATGTCGGGTTGATCAATGCACGCCAAATTTAAACCATCGCTCTACTCAAATGACGGCAGTTTATATAGCTTATGTCTTTTGTTCTAGAAACTTGGTTTTTACGTTCAAAACTAATTTTTGTAGAAGCAACATCTGAGAAATCGAGCTAGACGTTATGACCCCCAATTTTAGAGCTCTCCGATATCTCAAAAAACGCGGGGCGGGGCTTATGTTCAAGCTTTTGGCTTCGAGATTGGTTTCCGTGGTTCTTAACTGCTAATGCCGCCAAGTTTGTTGCCACCTGATCGATAATGAAGTGCTCGGGACTAGCAACTCCCTTCGTTTCTTAGGTTGTCAGTAACTGCAGATGTGTGCATTTAATATATATATATATATAAAGATAGAGAGAGAGAGATAAACGACAATCGGCAGTTGCGTGTGTTCTACTCAAGCACCAAAATGGCGACGCCCACAACCATATCGGAGAACAGAGTGCCGATACTCTAAGCGCAGCTCATTTAGTGCCTCTGCGTTCCCCGACATTGCTGTGGGCGCCGCCATTTTGGCTCGTATGCAGAGAAGACGCCACTGCCAATCGTCATGATTCCAAAGTGCTACCTTCTCAGCATTAGATTCAGTGTTAGGAAGGTCAGGTAATATTGCTTTGCTCTGTCGCGAACTGTTTAAACATTTGTGGACGGCAAAAAAGCGTTTCCTGTGATTTCAGCTAAAGCTTCAGATAACTGGCAACCATGATTTTAAGACACAATATGAACAAGTGTCGTTATTTTGAAGCGTAGCTTATTTAGTGGCACTAACGACAGCGAAGTAAAAAGGTGTGTGTTTTGATATCTGCCTCGTTGGTCTTTCTCGCGGTTCAGGGGTACGCACCAAAGCCTGCAATATATATACAGGGTATCACAAAAGAAAATTTACAGGGTCTTTATTTCCACAAAAATAAACTAGGTATCCGCGAGAAGACAAAACCCTGTTTTTTGCACCGCAAAAATAAACTAGACCAGGGGTTTTCCTTAGGATTGAAATTCGGAGGAAATGTCTCAATTTTTAGAGGGGGGGGGGGGGGGGGTAGAGTAGAGGAGTCGTTGCGAATTAAGGTTAAGGGGTGTCTTCAGAAAAACAAGGGGGGGGGGAGGGTACATCTTTTGTAGGAGGTGTATAGGAAAATCATTGAACTAGACATCGGGGAGAGTTCAAACTCCGGCAGAACGTAGCCCCAGGCTAGGCGTTCGAGCAAGATGTCAAAGTTCCAGCACCAACCCTTATCTTATTCAAAAGTTATAAGTGATTTTTAGAAATTTTCAATGAGAAAATGGGGCCTACTTTCCCCGTTTTCAGTTTCTGGCGCCGTAGAGCTTCATTTATCCGAAAGCTACGTCGGCCGCCATTCTGCTATTGAAATTTTCAGAAAATCGCTTATAACTTTTGAATAAGATAACGGTTAATGCTAAAACTTTGGCACCTTATTCGAACCGCTGGGTCTACATTCGGACGGAGGTTCAGCTCTCTGCGACGTCCAATTTGTTTTTGCGGTGCGGAACAGGCTTTTGTTCTTTCGCGGACGCCCGGTATATACTTAAAGATGAGTAACCTTGGAATTGTTTATAACAACTAGACTTAAAACGGTACACTTGCATAAGCATGACGTTCTGATTTCTTTTTTTTTTTCATTTTTTACTGATCTACCAGTTCGCACAATTTGTAAGCAAGCCATTAACATTACTAAAAGCTGTACTTACTGCACAAAGCGTTCCATCTTCTCTGATCTCTGCCCATCTATGGTTGCAATGTGAGACACAGGAGTCAGCTATTGTCTACAAGCGAGAAAACAATCACGTTCATTTTTTTTAGCACGTACATCAGTGAGTTGCTATGTTTATATGAGATATCTCTAGTACGTCAGTCGCTCACCGGCGATGCAGAGAATAGGTCAAATCACGGTAAGGTCACTGCACAATAGTGTTTCATTTACATATCGACAAAACTATCTCGATATATATTTTTTTTTCCTTTGCGTCTAAAGAATTTAGAAACGAATTTGGTCACAGAAATTGACCATCTGCGAAATTGCCCAAGCATCAGGAGCGTGCTGCCAGTGTGGTAACAGCATGCAGGTGCTGCGCATCCATCTGTTCCAAAGCAGAATGGCACTTTCCACATGCATTTTCCAACGCTTTATTTTTGCAATTTACTTCAAATATTTTATACAGACAAAGTCAGAACGTGCAGCACGTGTCTGGTTGGAATAATTAAGGGGTTTTAGTTTTAGTCGATCGTTCCGATGACTCCGATAACGATACCGGATACCCCGCCGCTACCTTTGGGTCATTCTTCGGAAGATTAAACATTTAGGTTCGTAACAAGATAACTTGGCGAAATTTACTTTCGTTTACTATTTCATGTTCATCAATAGGTGATTCATTTGCTATTTTCATAGAAAATTTAGCCGAGCTCCAAGATGTTTATTTATATCCTTACCAACAAATATTGTGGAACGTGCTCAATATACAATTAGCCATAGGTATTTTACGGCTTTATTTTTTGTGCTTGTCAGAATGTATTTTGTTTTTATTTTGCAATATTCATATTTGCTATAACACGCAAAAACAGTAAATACTCGAATTTTAGGTCTAGATTAAAAAATATTCTTGCAAGGGCTGTTTTTCTTTTTTTTTTTTTTTTTTGCAAAAGCTTTTTGAAGTATGCCACCTGGTCTGTTCAAAAAGTAATTAAACTGATTTTACAGCACAACATTATTTTTTTGGGAGCATGTTCATTTTTTTTACAGTTTAGTACTTTGACACAAACCGAAAAATAAGTTTATCGTGTAAAAATATATAGTAAGAACATTTTCCGCGTACCGAAGCATTCTATTTTTGATATTTTTGGTTGGGGGGGGGGGGGGGGGGGATGCAGGAGCCATTGAGGTATTTGACTTTGCATTTCGTGCCTGTCATTAAGAAATCTAATTGGCCATGAAGTACCATGGTTATATAGCGAATACAAATGGGAAATTTAATGTATCTTTTATGCGACTGACCCGTGTTGCGGTTTACTGGCGACACTAATGATCGTTGCGCGGCTGACCTTTATATGTACGACCGTTATTGGGCAGGAGATCGAACTATAGGGGGCGCTCTGACCCGTTTGTTTTCCCCACGCTCGGTGTTTACTCAACACAAGGCCTGTGCACATGCCGACGGGCCTTATGGGCATGTCCATGTCATCTTCTACAATGGAGCGCGGAGCACAGTTTAATGTACAAAATACTAACAATCGACGAAGCGACTTTAAGTGCCGGATCTATCCTCAGAGAATGCGAGCTTGACCCACTTGGCTTTTGTGCTGAGCTGGGACCGTACATGCTGCATTGTTCATGCAGGCCGTAGTGGAAACAAAAGAGCCCCCCCTCCCCCTCCCCGGAGAACACGAACTCCAGCCGAACGCTGACGCCGCGTTCGGCTATGTCGGCCGAGCACTGAGTCATTGTATCTGTTGTCCCCATCCGTGTAGTTGTAAAGTTAACCGCTTGGGGGCGTCACGATCTGTCCTCCTCCCTAATACGAATGACTGTTACAGGGCTGACCATTACAGGACTGACAATTCGCGCTAATTTATTTAAAAAGGAAAAATCTCACAGCGTGAATTTAATATCTTTAACGCAACAGGAACTATGTCTGTTTTGTCACTGCAAGTTATTTCTCATCGAGATATTATGAAAAAAAAATAGCACATATAAGATCAGTTACACCACTGACACATCACAAAGATACGGATTTATTGATTTATTTATATTTATTTATAAGCTAATAAAATTTTAATTGTTGGCCCAGGGTGAATGGCTCTTGTTGTAAGACTTCCTTGAAAACGTGTTAAACAGTCTGTGTACTTCCAAATTGAATATGGTTAGCAGAAGTTTTTTTTATATGTTTATACCTTTTATTATACCACTGACATTCAGGTCGGTTACACTTGTTTCTTTTAAAATTCGTAAAAATATAAATACTTTAGCATTAATGGACGTTGGGATCAAGTCATAAATTGGAGCTGACATTGGTGTACAATTTTTTTTAATCAAACATATAGAAGTTTACTTTTATAAAACAAAAGATCACGCTTTTGAAACGTGTGTGGTAGATAGCAGATTCAAAACAAATGCTACAATTTCACAAAATACGCAATCTAAACTCCTCTTTTTTTTTCTCTAAGGGTCTTAATTATGAGAACTTGCAAATATTTGTTTTTAGGACACCCTGACGCTATGCTATACAACCTATATTTTAGGAATGACCGCAGAAAGGCGTTTGAAAGTTATTTCACGGTCACAATAATGTTTAATTTTTGGGTAGAATGACCCCTTTGCGCACGCGCGTCGCGTCGTTATCGGCTATTGTTAGCGGACGTAACGGGGGTATCGGAACGATTTACTAAAACTCTGTTTTGACTCTACTCACTCATCGAACGCGTCCAAGCGCCGAACGCCGGCGTCCCATGAGTGCAGTGAAGACAAAGGCAGCTTAACGTCTACCCCATGCGCTCTTGTCTCTTTCTCTCTCTAAATTTGTTCCCGCTTAGGTTTCCTAAATATCTTTTTTCTCCGGCCGTCGTACCTTCAATGCAGGCCCGCGATGAACGCAATTCGTGCCCTAGCGTGCAAGAAAGATTCTAGCTCACGCGGAGCCAGACAAACACTGAAAGCACCGAGTTAGCACCGGAGGTATAAGCCAACGAAGTGGCATCTAGCTGCACATGACTACACTATGGGACACTTGCTCGCCGTATAGTCACCGACAGCTTAAGAAACCCAGGGCGTGGGGGATCCCGATCATCTCATCTCATCATCAGCCAATCGGATAGTGGAATCCGCCGGTAAGTAGGCTGAAGAACCAATGACCAAGCGAGAAGCGTAAAACAAAGATGTCCCACTTTCCTTATCGTAAATGAGAAGCCACGCCCTAAACTTTCTTAAGCTGTCGTTACCTATAGCACCGCAGTGTCGAAAACTATTACTAAATACATGAATTTTTTGGAGGGCGAACCTCCTTAAGGGTCTAGCCTTGTCCATCCGGCGTCCATGGTCATATCGATTGCCATCCCATCTGTCTTCTTAAAAAAAAGAAAAAAATGTTTGCGCAGTCGACAGTATTCTAACCTGTGCGGGGAGACCCCAGTGGATTTCTAGTCCATCGCCTTAACCACTCGGCCACGACTGCGGCACGAGTAGGGGGCTCTGAGACGTGGTAGTAACTCAAGAGCTGGGGATGTCATGGATGAGACGTTGCATGTAGCCGCTCAATGTCTAGACAGGAGAGGGCGCTGCGGTCAAATGCGTATATAATCGCGTTAAACTTTGCATGAATTGGCTCAACGTTTATAGACGAGGGGGCGCTGCGGTCAAATGCTCAAATGCGTATATAACCACGATCCATACCACACATTCTCTTTCTGACATGGACCGTTGACTTAAACGGTGGAGATGCGTTTCCAAGGCTTTAGCGGATCCAAGCTGTTCCGCTAGAAGAACCACTGGCTCTGCATTTCACCGAACATAAAGCAGTAATAATGAAGTCGAAACGCAACCCGGAACTCAGCACTACCTATGAGCAATAAAAAAATCAGCACCATCAGTACTACCTATGAACAATAAAATCAATATCATCAGCACCACCAGAGCTTCGCCCCAATCAACATCATTCACCACGTGGAGATGCGGTCATTTTTTAGAGCGCAGCTCTTAGGCGCTCGTTTCCGGCTTGAGCGGCGTCGCCGTCGCCGTCGGCATAACCAAGGTCACCCCAAGGTCACGTGACCCCCAAGGCCACCCTAAGGTCACGTGACCCCCAGGTCATAGATTCCCAAGGTCACGTGACCCCCAGGTCATAGACCCCCCAAGGTCACATTACCCCCAATTTCATGTGACACCCCCAAGATCACCTCAAGGTCACGTGACCCCCCAAGTAGACCCCCACGTGACCCCCGAGGTCACGTGGCCACCCTCCCCGAGGTCAGGTGACTCCCCCCCTCCCCCCCCCCCGAAGTCACGCGACACCCCCCCCCCCCCCCCGAGGTCACGTGACCCCCTCCCCCCGAGGTCAGGTGACCCCCCAGAGCATGTTAAAGAATGAGGGGAGCAGGAGGAGGAAGAGGAGGGGTCTACCCTCCCCTCTGTACCCTTCCTTCCTCCTCCTCTAGAGCTGCGCTCCAATTCGGCGTTACAGGGAGTTGTAAACGGCTTTCACTTTTTTTCTGAAGCCTAACAACGTTGAAAACGACGGGTATAGTAGCATTCGCTCCTGTGGTAGATGAGATAGCTCTACAAAACTAATCCGTCCTCAGGCTCACTGGTGCATTGGCAGCTACGACGAGATCGGAATATGACCAGAAAGCCGCGGACGTCCGTGTACAATAAAATGTTTCATGTTATCTAGAACCGCTGTCGCACGGAAAGGTCATATCGAAAGAATGGCATTTGCTTGATCGGCGAATCGGCTCGCGATCCTGAGCGTCGCGCGCGAAATGCGCTGCGCACGAAGTGGCACGTGCTGATCGGCCGATCGCTCAAATGTTATTTGTTGAGAATTATATCTTTTTTGTGTGTGCGTGACACGGGTGTAAGACATCTCTGAAACCTAAAAACTCATTTCTAAATCCATAAAAAAAAACACCACGCGCGTGCAAAATTCGTGGTCATCAAGAACGTCAAACCTCATTTTTGCGCAGCTTCGGGTGCCTCATTCACTCTTGTAATTACTTTTAGGCAATTAGAGCGATGGCATAGGCCATAATACAAACACGAAATTGTTCGAGTAAGAACAAATCAGCGGTTGTCGTAGCACTTTTTTGTACACGAGTGTGTAATATGAAGGCGCGACAACAAATTTCATGAAATAATACGCGTGGCTCCAGCACTCAATAACAGGAGCAAACATGATTCGGAAGCATTTAAAGTGACCAGATAACTCGGCTTGGTGACGCATAGCCCCACAATTTACCACAGAGGCGCCCGAAGGTGGGGGAAGCATCGCATCAAGATTTCAAAGAATAAACTTACTTGACTAAAAGGCAGACAACAATAACTGATTTTCCCTACCATGCACGGTGTCCGTCTGCTATCCACGCACCCTCTGACTGGCGCAACATTGCGGCCCCGGCGTCAGCTTAGCACCCGGTCACGCCAAAAGCAGGCGAAAGGTGGCTTATGGTGAATTCGGGTGGTCGCCGCTCAATCTCCTCTCACCTTGATTCAGCAGAGCGCCCCCTCCTCGCTGCCAGAGCTACTCGGGATCCTTTTCAGCCGATCACAACTGCTGGGTTTAGAGCGCTCTGATATTCTCAGACCAGTCACGGAAGTAAAACTTCTTGACATTGGTAACGCATAAAAAAAGGTTTTACAGCGCAGGGTGAACGATTGAGCAAAATTTACGCTCGCAACGTAATGAAATAACGGTTGCGACGAAGCTAGTCTTCCGCCATCGGCATGCAAAAAAATTAATAAAAAAAAAACAGCAGTATGCGAATTGATTTTTTGCAGAACGGAACGAACGCCAATGCTTGGAAAGAGTTGTCAACTCACAGCATTTTCGACAGTGAACGCGCTGCGATAGTGTTCTTGCGTACGGCAAAGCAGTCAAATATAAAATGGTTAACAAACCGCATTTTTCCCAGCGAAATATCGTGCAAGCAGGATATAGCACATATCGCCATGTGACGCAAATCACAGCTAGTGCATTATATTCGTATTTCTCTTTATTTTACAACATAAACCTTTAAAAGCACTTTTACCGTACCTGAAAATTTCTTGAAGCGACCACAAAACACGGTAAAACAAAGGTGAGCTTTGCGAGCTGCTTCTTCGTCGGTTAGGCTTAGCGGAATCACCGCCTGGAGATAAACTATCTTGTGGAAGAACTGGAAATACTTCACACGTCGACTTTTCCTGTTACGGTCACAAACGAATGTCGTCCCGTCCGTTGTAATCCTCGCACCGTCGAATGCACAAGAACTTTGTAGAACCGCATATCAATCGCCGTCGTGCCGGACCCCGCACACCACAACAGTCCACTGCCGGCCATCGTCAACAAAACCACGGGATCCCCGTCCAAGTACCACGTGACGCCTGCGACGCTCCGCACACCGACGGCTACAGACGGAGTGCTAGGGAGCGCTCTGAGAGGGAGAGGCGCCCTTGGAATGAACCAGTCGATCAGGCCACAGCACTCTCTTTCAACCACCCGATCGCGCGCGCTCTGGAAAGAGCGCTCGAGAGCGCGCAGAAGAAACTACGCGAATTTGTCATTAGAGTACGCGACGAACAATCGGTTTTATCTGTTTTGTGTCCAATTCATGTGTTTTAATGAAAAAAAAATCACGCGCTTACCATTATGGCACGGACAAAGCCCGCGCCGTTTACGATTCGAAAACACACTCTAAAAAAAAAAGCCCGTGCGTCTACTTTCCCGCACAACACACGAAGAGCCAATCAACGCAACTCACGGAGGCAGCTGAGCGAATGACGATGCCGAAACATATGTTTATACCAAAAAACGCAGTCTGGGTTGTGACATTAAGCAATGGAAGATGTCACCCTTGCATTGCCTAATGTCACAACTCGGACTGCGTTTTTTGGTCCGAGTGCGCTTTTGGGTGCGCTTTTGCCACCTCTTAGCAGCTCTTATTGCAAACGGGGCCCATCGACCCCGTGACTCCGATTGGGCAGTTGGAAACCCTGTAATATGCGCTAAGAAACTGGGCGAGAGAAGGAGACTAGAGCGCGAGGGGACGTAATAATGCCGAGCTCTGGCTGGAATGATTATAGTGGGTAGACGTAAAGCCTTTCCCTCCACTGCACTCGTCGAGCGCGTTCGAATGCGAAAGCCAAACGCCGGGCGCCGGCGTTCCGCGTTTTAGCGTGTTCGACGAGGGCAGTGGAGACAAAGGCTGCTAGCTTTATAAGGTCTACCCACTAATCGTTCCAACCAGAGCTCGGCGTTCTGACGTCCCCACGCAACCTCACCTCCCCCTCTCTCTCAGTTTCTCGGTGCAAAGGCTCTCTGAGCTGACGTAGAGAGCCTGTATAAGAGAGGGTTTCCAACGGCTCTATCGGAATCACGTGATTCATGGGCCGTATTGGCAGTACGAGCTGCCAGGAGTTGGCGAACGCGTTGGACGTTTGAAAACGTATCCGCTTTTCCTCCTGCTTTCCTCTTCGCCACGCGAGAACTTACCCTTTGCGCACTTACGACCGACCGCCGCTGCAGGTGCCCACCATTAAATGGCAAAAGCTCCCCATGATTTGAGGTGGACCTTCTCTTCAATCTAGATTCTCCAAGCTGCCGCCGGGAACGCCCTGCTAGCTCCATCACTCCATACGCAGTCAGAGGGTGCGTGGATAGATACTGATAGCAGACGGGCGCCGTAGTTAGGGAAAATAAGTTATCGTCTACGTTTCTTTTGTTTGTTTTTTTTTTCAACTTTTTATTCAGGTAATTTGTTTTATGCGATGCTTTAGTTACCTTTGGGCACCTCTGCGGCATATGGTAGCGCGATACGTTCCTAAGCCAATTTAGGCGCTCACTGAAGATTTCCGTCGGATTCGTGGGCACGCAGTAGTTTAGAACACGGCGGCGCAGCCTTGCCAAGTTCGAGGCGTTTTATTCTTATGTTTGAAGGAACGATGTTACGTTTTGTCCTTCGACAAGGCGAAACGAGTAACTATAATTTTCCGTTTAAGAAACGCGGGTCATGCCGAGCCTTGAACTTCTTACTGTCGATCTGTACATGGCTTGCACTGACGTCACATTGCATAGGGGAAGCTGCTTTTGTAGCAATTTTAAGTGACGGGTTAATTTTCTATAATCTTCTGAAAAGCAAATAGCGACGTCTGGGCAAGTCTGGCCATTGGAGTGTTCTATGGATGACGTCATGTGCAATTGCCATGTAACGAATCTCAAAGGAAGAAGCCTGAACATGAGAAGCCACGCGCTCCGTCTCTTAGACTGTCAGTGAGTATACACTCTAAAAAAAGGGTGTACTGTTACACCCTTTGTCCCATATAATGCACTTGAGTTTGCCGTACAGCGCACTGGCGTCGATCTGACGGTACCACCTTTCACGAGAGGCTTGATAGCCGTGTGGTACACTTATTAAAATAGTTAATGTACGTGTTACGGACTAGGAAAAAATATAATCGGGGTTTTCTTGACCCTCCTGCAAAACCTTAGTGTTTTCTTTCAGTGGTGTTTGATAGGTACTTTAGCTATCTAATAAGTTATATCGCACCGTTATCAAGTCCCTCGTAAAATTGGGGGCCGTCTGTTTGACCCTAGGGCTCTTGTACGTCGAACTGAAGTTTTGGGGTGCATTATATAGGACAGAAGGGTGTAAGGTGATTCCCCCCCCCCCCCCTTTTTCTTTTAGAGTGTAGGTCTCTCATGTTTGAAACTCGTCACGGGCCACGAGGAATGTTTTGAACACACCGTAGCTCATACCTTTCCATTGACGACGATATTTCTGTCAACACATCCGTGGGGATGTCGCCATGGTACGTCATCTGTGTAAATATGTCTTGATTAGTCCGTGAGATCTCTTATCAAAAATAATAAGGGAGATGTTTATTTTAATTTATACACTTCTCTAATATTAACTTGACTAAATAAAATTAACTGGCCTAGCCGGTAGTGGTTCAACTTTAACGTAATACAAAAAAACGTAATACGCGGTGTCCTGTTCTCTACCTCTGCTTCGTCCACGTTTTGTTTGTTTGTGTTTGAGTGTGTGTCTGTGCATGCGTCTTCTACATAAACTTTAAAAGTTGTACCAACGGTATTTGCGTAAACAGTGCTGCACACAAAACATGTAACACCTGCGCCTTTTGTTGCGCGTTAAACATGGTCGTAAGCTCTCGCATGCGCGGACCAGTCAAACAGACGCTCGCAGTTCAACTGTTCATGAAGACTTGTCTTCACTTTTGCGTCTGTCCTCGTGTCTAGCGCAACCATTTTTCTTTTCTTTTTTTTTTTTTTTTTACAAATATATAAACTTTGACAACTATATTCTTTCACGGCACATAGACATCATCATATATTATGTTGTCTAACTCATTTAGCCTTAGCTGAGGTATTATAAAATACTTCATACGCATTGCAGGCCTTCTTTTACTTATACCATGACCTCCGAGATTCGTGGCGCGCAAAGCTCTCCTCCAGCCATTCCATTCGTCGGAAAGACTTACATGGTGAAAAATTACTGAGGGTTGTATCCACCGCGCAGTGAAGCTTGTTACAGGGTCGAAAGTCACCATAAGAATTGCTTGGCTATATATATCTGCCCGTATAGTAAAATTACACTTGATTGCCCGAATTATAGTCGTTGCGTTTTGATCACCCGATCACATATTACTTTTTTCAAGAAAGTGGTAGTTGAAATACGAGTTCAACTTTCTTTTGACCCGAGAAGATATAGTAGATTAAATGCATGCCTGATTGTTTTCAGACAAACTGCGCCTCCATTCATTTTGATCAAAAAGTAGTGGCGAGTCAAAGACAAGTGAGAATAAAGTTTCTGCCCCAAAAATACCATTTTATTTGTGAGACTCAGTAGCCGAAATCATACTCGTTATTCACATGCAGATCGCTATTCTGAATAGCAGATAAAGGGGTTCGGATTTTTTTTTTTTTTTTTTTTTTTTTGTCTCGTCATTTGTTTGGGGCTTCAAAATACATTGTTTCCAAATATTTTACTAGGGTGTATACATTCTACTCCCCGGAAATACAGTGACCTCGGCGGGGAACGGTTTGGCCCAGTTTGAAATGCTGGATGAGTGGGTTTTTTCCGCATTGAATTGGGAGTGGTGGGGGGCGCCACCTATTTCCATGGAAGTCACGGTTATCAGGCATTCGCGCCAGTGGGCGAAAAGCGCACCGACGGCCCTTCGGTCGATGCAAGCGTTTGCTCAACATCCGTCGTATCTGGTTCCTTGAACATTTTGAGAACAAAAATATGTTGTGTTTTTGTTGTTTTTTTTTTCGGCACGGCGAGACGTTTAAACCGCCACGGGAGAAATTGGCACCCTAGGCGCGCCATCTAATGCAAATGAGCGAATGAGCGGAGTTGGATGTCTTTCCCCTAGTAAAGTAGTTGTTTCTTTTGTGACGTTCATTTTTATCCATCGTTTTTGTCCTGTCGTTTTTAGCGTTTCTCTCAGGTGTTCTTGTGACGCCGCCTCGTTATGAATTGGACGGCTTCGGCCCTTTCACCGCAGTGGCACTTTGCACCACAATCTCCTTCATTGCTTACTAATGACCAGCGCCGGCTTGCTAGAAGGCGCGTCTTAGCAAAGGCGTGACGACAGAAAGCACCGCCACAGCCAGCGCACGAACTGAGCGGCAAGTTAATCGCGTCTCAACGAGCTCGCCCCCCTCAGTCTTCGCATATAACGGAAATAAGAGCGCGTACACACATTTAAAGGGTCCATGAAATAAATTTTTGGTTGGGATAAATAGATATTTTTAGATTAGAATCTTGCTAATCGCACATCGTTTAATGGGCCAAGAGAAAGAGGGTAGAAAGTCAAAAGCCTGTTTTTCGTTACGAAAATCCGAAAATATTGCGGATTATTCCGCGCCTCCTTTCCTTCGAAAGGTTTTTGCCTTTTCACTGTGATACATCCGTGGTACCCAAAGCACGTCAGTCTACCCCAGCTCACGAATCGGGCGCGGGCACTCTGTCACTCGGACGTATGCGCTCGTCAACAAACGATCCGTCGGTGAATATTTGAATTCGCGTTCGTGGCCAATGAGTGCCAATGAGCGCACCATGGAACTTGTCATTCTCAAGTGATGATAAGAGCTTCCTTATCGTCTCTTGAGAATGAAAAGTTTCATGGTGCGCTTAAAAAGGACAGTGGATGCTTGGAGTCACCGTAGAGGTGCCCAAGCACGTCATGATTGCGTGATTTCTTATTTCGCTCTTGAGTTGAGGAGGAACGCTAAGGAGAAAGAAGTTAGAACATATTGAAAGACGTTTACAATTCTCTGTAATGCCGAATTAGAGCGCAGCTCTTGAGGACGACGAGGGGAGGGTACGGATGGGAAGGTCACATCTGACATCACAGGAGAAAAAGTTTCCCGCTAAATTTGGCGAGAAATTTCCCCGCTAAATTTAGCGAAAAATTCCCCGCTAAATTTGGCGGGAAAATTGTTCCCTAATTCAACGCGCGGTTGCGCTAGGTTGCATTATTCCCAGTAGGCATCGCGCGCAGTTACACCGACGGCGACGCCTACACCGCTCAACCCGTTAACGTGCGCCTAAAAGCTACGCTCTAAAATAAGTTTATGGAACCTAGAGCCACTAGCTGAGCTGCTCTTAGAGTATCGGCACTCTGTTCCCCGATATTGTTTTCGGCGCCGCCATCTTGATGCTTAGTAGACAGCAGACGCAACTGCCGATCGTCATTAATAAAAAATGCGACCTCCTGAGCATTAGATTCGGTGTTAGGAAGCTCATTCAATATTACTTTGCTCTGACGCGAACTGTTTAAACATTTGTGGTGGACGGAAAAGCGTTTCCTGTGATTTCAGATAAAACTTTAGATAACTGGCAACCATTATTTTTAAACGCCAAGATGGGTAAGTATAGTTACTTTGAACCGTAGCTTCTTTATTGGCTCTAATGGACCCTTTAACGTTTGAGATGCTGATGCCAGCTCAGCATCAGGACCGTCTTGGGAGCTGTAGAGAAGCTGAGCTATACGCTCCTTCTGGTGTGCAAACGCCGCGTTTGGAAGGACCGGAGTAGAGCTTTCCGCGCCAAGAGTCTCAGAGGCCATGTTTAACGCACATATACTTATACGGTAGTATTAATACAAGCTTTCTTATATATATGCTTATGCGCATACACGCATAAGTGTAAGTATGTGCATGCTTATATTTATGCGCATATAAGTATAAGAACGTGCATTCTTACACGCATATAAGAGTATACATCATTATACTTATACTGTAGTGTGTTACGCTTATTCACATCCCCAACCAGAAATGTGTCTCTCCGTCCATCTTTGTATCAGCGCATACCCCATGGCGGGCAGCACAAGCGGTTTGGTTACCATGGCAACTTGAATAAATCAATGCGCGCAAGCCCTTACCTCATAATTTTAAATCAATACACGCTTATCCCCCACTACGAATCAAACCCAGAACCTCCCGGTCCGCAGCCCCGGATGCGCTACTTCTGCGCCAGCTGCACGAATTTTTGGACCCGCACACGCTAAAGTCTTCTCCTACAGTCACCACATGTCGTTACTCCCCGCAGTTCATGCATGGTAATGTCGCGAAGGTGGGCGGTGTCGATTTAATAACCGACGTGTTCTTCACTATACCCGAAACGACACTTTATAATGTCTTCTTTGCTCCGTTTCACTCTGTAGACCAACACTTCGTATACAAACAAGCCCGCCTTTCTACGCCCCATGTGTGGGCACTGCGCATGCGCAGAAACCAGATTAGCGTTAGATTCAGCGCCTGCGCATGCGGAATATCGACAGCAGCGCCACCGCAGTGGCGGAACGACAGAGAGTGGAGCCGGTGTATATCCGAAAGCCGGGGACGGTATTTGATCTGATCAGGTTATCATTCGCAGTAAATGCACTGTGACCTGCACTTACTTTTTTTCTGTGGTTGATAGGATTATTGGGTACAAACGTTTAAAAGACGACGAACTCCCTGACTATGCACTCTTGACACTGTTTGATTGGCTCCATCGGTTCGTAGCGTGGGCTGCAGTCAGATTTAGTGCGAAAAGAAGTGTAAACAAAGTTTAAGCAACGTACCCTTTTCAAAATTCAGTCTGGCTACTTTGATCACTATCATCATCTCGATGTACGGCCCACGTGCCGAACGAATGGCGGCCCTCTTGAGGCGGGGGAAGGAGGTAGTTGTGAAGGTAGGGCCGAGCGGAGGGTTTCACATGAGGCTTCTACGTTCGAGACGTCTGTATACGAGGCGACACACAAGTTAGATACAACGGCTGCCTAAACGTTTCTGTCAGAGTCTGGTTCAAATCAGTCTCTTGGCACGAGTGTGGCTCTAAAGTCCTTTGATGACGGAAGTTTAATCAAAGGAGGGCCCATAGGTCGCCCCTTTGTACTGGTCAGCCCCTATGTTCACACTATCGAAACTAAAAAAAAAATCAATTACATTTTTTTTTAAGGTAATTGTACAGCCAATTTTCATCTACCATTGACGTGCGAAACTGACGGTGCATGGTGAAGTACAGTTTCATGACCGCGATTGGTATGTCAAAAGTGAAACTGCTGTTTGAGTCACCAGATGGCACTGAATTTCGAAAAGTGTCTATTGCTCCTTAGATAACACGTGCTATTCATTATAACTCTGTGAAGATCAACTGAATTATGTTTTTATTGGAAGAGGGGATGAAGATGCACTGCTTGTTGATAGACGCCATTTACTGCGGACATGGGAAGGTGTGCGGTGAGGTAAGGATGTCAATTTTCTAGATAAGAACACATTAAATTTATAACAAACTTACGAACTTCCGTGCATAATCCATTCCAACAGGCTCCAGTCCGCAACACTTTTTGCGTTTGAGTTGCAGTTGTAATCCAGTCCATCTAGAATTATATAATTTAGCGAATTATTTTAAATACGCTTAGTATACTATTATCAATAACAGACAAAAGGTCAAGGCGAAGAAGCCAAAAAAACGTAGTTTTATCAGTGATACCTGTGCTTTGAAGAACCCTCGTCGATATCGGGGATGAATAATAACCCTCACGTTGAGTCTACGTTCTATCGTGATTTCAAAACACTTGTACTTTTCCAGCTACGAAACAACCCTCAAAAATCGACAAAATAATAAAAAGTAAAAAAGGCTGTCACCGGCTGAGCTTAAACAACGACTACACTGCAAACTGTGCGCCACGCCAATGTACCTTACACGGCAGTATTGAAATACTGTGATGGGGCAACTCTTTACAATTCAAGGATGAAACAATAATTGTATAATGAAACGCTAAAACTTGTTTTATGCGTACCTGACTGTAACCCTGCTCGTAATATAACGCATTAAGAATCACGGAGAAAGAAACCAATCGACAGAAACTTGCAGGGTTTTTTGCTTGTTTTTGCACAGTTTACTTTTTTTTCTTTTTTACATACACCACTAAGTGAGGTTTTCTATCGATTGTTCAGTAAAATAAATTTTATATTCAGTTTTTACACTTATCACTGTACACACTCCGTCAACCAACATGCCTTGTGAGTGGACTGCAGACAATACTGTAATCATTTTTCCAAAGAAAACTCAACCCCCTCAGAAACCTCCAAATATATATCAAGTCGTGACCACAATATACTACTGTAGGCTGATGAGCTAGTCGGAGCGTGCGCGGTTATCACACTGGCGCCCATAGGTAGAAAAATCCAGTCTTCGTTTTTGTTATTGTTGTTTACTTTTTACTCAAGTAAGTTGTTGTCGAATTGTTGTTAACTTTGATGCAAAGCTTTTACCACATTTAGGCACCTCGGTGGTAAATCGCAGCACGACACGTTACCAAGACGGACAGATGTCAGAGTGTGACCACTGCTGCGTATCACCACACGATTATAAAGGTATACCCTTAGCTAGGGAACCTTTATTGTCGCTGGCGAAGTAGTTCGCTGTCCTCCGCACGTGGCATGTGCTTGTAACCCAAGAGTGCGGGCTGATTCACCGATTGCAAAGGAACCTATGTGAAAGGTACCTTTATCCTGACCGTGTTAATCGGGTATTAGTTTAAATGGCCGCGCAGCGATATTGGTTTGAATTGTTTCATAATATACGTAAGCTTGCTGGCACTAAATATAGTATGACACAAGAACACTCGGTCAACGGTCAACGGTCTACCGCCGCCCTTCCGACCGACGACCCTACGCGAATGGACCCACCCGAGGACGTCAGCACCTGCTGACCGAACACTAGTATTTTCATCAATCATCTCCTACCTCCGGTCCTCCGGGACTGGACGGTACTTCTGACACATCGTCATCGCTAAACCCTCTTTTCCCCTCCACCATGCCACATGAGGCCCAATAGGCCAGGATATGGTTCACATAATATACGTTTCAATCAATCAATCTCGGACGTTACGTCACTGACCGAGGAGCTTATTTGTTCCGGTGTAATTTCAAAAAAAAAAAAAAATTTTTTTCTTCGCAAAATTTGATGGCATAGTTACAGTCCTCGTAGTGCTGACATAGCCATGGGTATTAACCATGGTGACCTTCTCAAATTCGGTATGTAGATCGGACACGAGCACAGAGTGAGTACTCAATTTGGGCTTGTGACATTCAATGCCTCGAAAAGCATTCGGGTATTGACCCGTGTCCAATTGCTGCAGTGGAAATAAACCTATCCCTAACGATGCCTGAAGCTAAGCCCGTGCCCTGTGCTTTGCCAACCACCCCATGTGGCCACGATGAACGTTGGCGGCATACGTTCGGCACCAGGTCACGTGGCACCTTATTCTGGCTCCTAGTTGAGGGGGTGAGCGTGGCTATTTCTACTCCAGATTCATTCCTGGGGCTGCCACTGCTGAGAAAATTACCTAACGCGTCTTTCGTAAGTTATGGGCGTCAGAGAATAATTGCACGCGCTATGTATTGGAAGTAAAAAAATGTGTTGCACCGCCCCTTACAGTATATCGCGCCCTAGACAACCCGAGGTATTACTGCCTTTGCATATTATCACCTCTGGGTTAACGTCTCTCGCACATCGTTTGAAACACAAAGCTTAATTTTGAAAATATAATTTGAAATTTGAAAAGAAAAGTTAATAATGAACTAGTCAACTTACAACGCACAAAGTTCCATCGCTCACGTCCTTCGGCTTTCTGCCATAGCAGTACTCCTGGCAGTTAGTAGATACGAACAGCTAAAACGAATAAGTAAATATTTATATTTACCTAAAGTCTCTAAGACAAGCACTTAAAGAGAGCTGTTTATGGCAAGAATAAGAGTTGGAATAAAAATCAACGAGAGGTGTGTACCTTTCCTGTTGCTTTAACCTCCAGTGGAACGCATGGCGGATGCAGGGAGAATCCCAGCTCGGCTGCATGGCGGGAGAAACATGGAGACCGCACCGAAATGTTTGCTGATAATTATATTAAGTGAGGTCTAATACTTCGCAGTTACCTTATATTCAGATATATTCAAGAAAACTGGAGGGATCAGTGGCAGAAAGAAGAAAGGGTTCAACTTATAACGACATAAACATGAGATCACTTCGTGGATGCCGTCTCGTCTTCCAACCTCAGTTTCGTTTACTGGTAATCCTTCGACGCGCAAATAAATCAAAGCATCATTAACATAAGTCTTGGCAGTTATTTTTGACAGTTATACCTAAAAATAAACTTTCCAAAATCGCTACTACTAGTTCATGCGAAGTTCGGCTATTCGGGTCTACAAAAATTTACAAAGATGCTATTCATAATCACAATGAGCGAGGGAACGCAAAACTCGGTAACCTCCAAAATGGTTCCGACTCAGCCGTCACCTTTCGCTAAAAGAGTTGACATTAATCAAATTTTACGATAAAGTTACGATGTGAGAGAATCATGAGATCTATGGAAATAAGACAAAGCCCCTGGGCCGCTGAGTTTAGCGTCGAAGAAAATTATCAGGGACTCGTTTGTAGTCTCTCTCCTGTACTTTTTCTTGTGTTATTTGTACAGGCATTGTAAGTCACGTTGAAACGAACAAATTTAAGATAAAATTTAAAAACCCGCAAACTACGTTTGAGAACTTGCTTCGGAGCTCGGTAAAGGCGAACTATGCTTAAAGCATGTAACAGACCATGTCCCAAAGCAGAGTATATTAACAGATAATATAAAAAGCAGAACAAATGACAAATCATATAAGAAGCAGAGCATATACCACGTTATATACGGCGAGCAAGCGTTCCAAAATGCGTCTTTGGTGCATCGAAATGCAACGAAGGGCACGCAAATCTAAGAGCAACATAGATGACGCGTAGGGAACGCACGATAGCGAGGCAGCCAAGCACGTATCGTCATTGGTTGAGGTCGGGTGGAAACAAAAGCACATGGACGGTCTTGGCGGGAAAGAAAACGCGCGAGATGCGCAAAGAGCAGACGAACCCTGCACGCTGTTGAGACGTGATCGCCGGTCCCGCTGTAACAGGCCATTGCCATTGCATGGTTTGTACATCTTACCTATGAAGGTCCATCGGGCGAAAACACGAACGTGGATACTCGTAGGTCCGAGAACACACCGTTCCCGATGTACTCCTGCGCTCATGATTTAGTCTGATTAGAACTGTACTGCGCAGTCGATGACGACGTCAAACGGGCCTCAAAGTCAACGGGACAAACGAATGATTCAGGTGAAACTTTGTGTAGCACCTGCTCGCATCTCTTTGATTACCACCCCATCACCGATGTCACAGTGGACCTTAACGGATCACGAGCGACTGTGCGAATCCACTGGCGCTTTCTTTGGCACTCACAAGCAAGCTGTGGCTCCATCTGCAAGTCCACAACGTACTTGGTCGATTTCTCGTCCACAAGACATCTGAAATTGCACTCGCCGACGACAATAGTAACGACATTCTCTTCAGTCGTCTCGGTCACTGAACTCTGAGGTGGAGAAAAAAACACATTGTAATTGTATTTTTAATAGTATAATTATTTTATAGGTAAAAATTTATGCACGATAGTAGAAACAATTGCAATGTAGCACCTGAAGCTCTGGCTCGAAAAAAAGTAAAAGCAAGTAGGAAAAAAAATTGTAAGAGAACGACTTATTGAGAAACGTTCTCCTACACTCATTGAGGCGTACTCCTACAGTTGTGTTTTTCTTCGACTTGAAATTCCTTTATTTTTCCGCGCCACAGTCTAATGTGTTACATTTAACATTATGATTAGTCATCACCAGCTCGCCTGCACACTCACTGTTATTCCGTTAGTAGAAACAACCTATCGACAAAATAAAAAAAAAAAAGCAATAAGAGAACAAATCACCCAGATGGTGTGAAGAAAAAAATATATTCTCTTCTTTACGAGTTCATCAAGCCCGTTAGTGGCAGGGGCGGTCGGGAATGTTCGGAAGAAGGTGGAGGGGTTCAACCCCTTCTCCTTCCTGGTTCCGACGCCACTGATCGAGGATGATCATCGGGACCTGTAGTCAATCTCCCTATGATAGCCTTGTTTCCTGTAGCAGCTGCGTGCAACTTTGAGAGTTGTCAGCAGAAGAGAGTGCAGTATCACAGCTCCCACACATCACAGCTTGTACATCGATCACTCTCGGGTTGTGATGGCACTAAAGCGAAGTTAGCTGCGGTGCACTGAAATTGTAGCTAATTGAGCGCCCGGCGATCACTGACACAAAAAGAAACTCACCACACAAGGTAGACGACCCACAAAATTTTCATTGAATTTGCAGGAGCATGACAACGCAATCGGCCACTGAAAGGTACAATAGTTGTTCCTGAAGTAATTCGAGGATTGGGTAAAATTTTCATAAAGCACATATTCATCACCGGCGAAGAAGAAATTTGTGTTTATTTTTTGTATTCGTGGCGCGTTAAAAGGCATACACGCAAAATAAAAGTAGTCCCTATTATCATTCGCAATTGTTTATATATTTTTGACCAGCAACACCTCAATCGGAACAACAGGTTTTTGACACGGAGGGTTTACATTGTTTACGTCACGATATTTTCCCCGGAAGGGACCAAGGAAAGGGGGGGGGGGGGGGGGGGGGGGGGTGAGGGGAAGGGGGCCATTCGTGTTTCTATTGTTTCTGTTTTCTTGAAGGCTAACAACTACAAACAACAAGGCGTAGAAGGTGTTAGAACCATAAGGTTCATTACCTATTGTTTGCTAAAAGACACTTGAAAAGAAAAAAGACTATAGTCGGTTACAAGTCGGGAAAGTAGATGCTCCTCCCACAAGCGTGATGCGCCCCTTTTAAATCCATCCGCAGTCGAAAAAATAGTTCCCTGGAAATGCCCCTTGTTTCGCTTCAGTGAAAAGATAATGGCTACAGAGTGATGCCCCAACTGGTCTCCGACCCTCACTTTTTAAGAAAGCGACCTTTGTATCCATCGGAGAGCGAACCGAGCCTCTGAAAGTGGCCTTTGTATCTATTGAAGGGGGAACCGTAACCCCCAAAAGTCGTATTTGTTTCCATCGGAGGGGGAAAACTCTAATCTCCCTCTGGTGGCTTCCACAACGCTAAGTCAAAGTCGAAATATAAAACAAATATTTAGAGGAAGGCAAAACCCTCTCCCGCGTTGGCCACGACGTCGCGGAAACGATGGGACGCTGTTGGATGCGGAGGTGGCGGAGGTACATATTTACCTTTGAGGTACCTTTGAGTGGCATTTGCCGCTACTTTCTTGACCTGTAACCTTTTGTTTATATATATGGAAAAAAAAAAAAAAAAACACGTCATAAAGCGAATTTACAACGAAGAAAAAAAATGTTTACAGCTACATTTAAGGCGCGAAACGAATTTGTAGTTAGCGTGCGTGGGAGCCGCCGCTGGTCACGTGGTAGATCTGTGCGCCGCCGCAAAGTCACGCCACCACCGCACGTTTCTCGACGACGACGCCGCCGCCAGTGCCGCTACCGCCAGCGCCGCTCTCGCCGGACAAGTACACTCCTAAACGGGGCACAGGTCTACCACGTGGGGCTCGCGCTCTTTTGGGAGCCTCCTTTGTACTATACAAGTTACTTATTGATCTTCGTTTTTTTGTTGCACTTCAAACGAAACGAACTTTTAGAGCCCATGAGGAAGTTTCCGGAAGAGAGAGAGAGACTCGTTGTAGAGGGAAGTGGGGGGGTAGAGAGCCAATCGTGTACGCGCGCTGGGCGCACTTCTGAAAGAGCGGAAGCACCGCCTGATAAATAGCGGCCAGTCACGTGATAAATAGCGGCCACTTTTCCGCGGGCGCCAACTACAAATTCGTTTCGTGCCGAAAATATAGCTCTTAAAATAGTTCTTGTTCGCTGTAAACTTGTTTTATGACTTCCTTTTTGCATCCAGACTGTTAAAAAATGTTTTCTTTTTCCTCTGGATGTGTTCTTTAGAAAAACACTCCAGAAAAATCCATTTAGAGGACCTTTAGGACGACTGCTGGAGGAACCTGACATAAGACATTTAATAAACAATCGAAGGTCGGTATACATCCACAACGCCGACAACAGACAGTCGTGGATGAACTCTCCCAAGCAAGCTGCATTTATCGAGATACTTTTTAGCTTTATAGTGCTTCACTAATTTCCGGCCAGCAAGAATTTTTCTTCTGGAGTTGGCCGGGATTAACTCCAGCAAATTGTATTGGCCGTTCCATTAGAGAGAAAGAGAAAGCGAGATGTCCTCTCGTACCAGAGCGCAACGATTTCGCTCGAAACGTTGTCTGCTCCTCCGAAGGAACTAGAAACGGCTGAGTAGCACGTAGCAATGAAAGCTTTTCGGAAAACCGTTTTACCAACTTAATGGCTTGTTTCGCGTACCCTGTCATATTCAAGAACAAAATTGGCAGGACAGCATTGTATTGTCTTTGGCTGTGCCAATTATAATGAAAAACAAAACGTGGATTAAGCGCCGATATAGTGCGCGCTAGAGTGTGCGCGACCCAAACTGTCACACGAAATAAATGTGGATGCGGCATATTAACCTTGCAGCAGTTCCATGCCCACCGAAACCTTCAGCGCCGGTAAATAAAAAAAATTTCCGCCTACTCGCATCATTTTTTTTTTTAATTTTATTTTAACGGTTTGCGAGCAGTTTCTGCCGACGCTCATGCTGGCTACCGCAGAAATATGAGCGGAGCACAACTTTGGCCATGAGCAAAACAGTTGCGTGGCAACTAGGTCGATAATTCATTGGCTATATTTGTCTTTGGGGGCAATTAGCGGGTGACGCCCGGTGGGGAACAAAAATACGCGACCAACATTGAAGCGTGGGACATCTACGATCTACGATTGGATAATTTTAGAGTTTTTTTATGTCAATTTATCCGTTACGCGTCGATGTTCTGGAATAGTTTACAGAAAATATAGATGAGCACAGGCAGAAATCAAGTATTATAAAGTATGCACGGAAGCTGGTTGAGAACAGATATTGTAAAGCTGCCGCGTGGGGACGACTGGCACAAAATTACGATCACCAGGCTCCAAACACAGCAAAATGTTATTTTCACAACCCTTCTTCCCCACAACCGGAGAGAAGCATTAATCCTGAAGGTCGAATATACGAGGGAACCTCGAAAGAAAGCGGCTTCATCGAAGGTCAACAGACAGAACCCTGCAAGGACGCGGTTGTTGCCGCGGCTGAAAAGGGCACTCGAGTGCTTTTTGTAGAAGCATGTTTTTGAAGGCATATTACTTGTTGGACTTTAGCCAATAAAATTGACCAGCTCTAGATGGAAAGACGTCCATAAAAAAGGGGGGAGGGGGGGGCATTTATTGAGAAAATATTACGTTCATAAATTTTGATCAATTAAAATAGTTAATTGCGTGGAAATTTCAAGCGTTACTAATATTTACTTTTTAGGCGCGTTATGCATTATATTTTTTTACGAAAACGTCAAATCTTTAGGTGTAAGAAAGGTCATATAACAATTGTTGTTTAAAAACGCCGTCCGACGGCGCTCCTTGGCGTCTACTCCGAGATGCAGAAAGAGGGGCGTGTGACGATCTTTGCTTACATTTTTAACAGGGAAATCGGCCGCCCATGAGTGTAATTTCGGCCAAGACGATCTCGGAATCCACCTTGAGTCCTGAAGCCTCGGTCAGGCAGCTGATACATCATACAAGAGACAGTCTGCGTACACTGTCTGGGGCCTGTTTCTTCCTCGTACGACCGTCCTACTCCATTGGTCACACAAAAACTGTCCGCGGACATATCCCAAGCATTTACAAAAGGAACAAGCTTCGAAGCACGCTTGAGGAGTGTACGCAGACAATTCTGTAGTCATGTCTGCAGACAAACTCTGTGTCTTCTGTAGGATGTATGCACCTTTTCCACAAGGGCGCTGCCATTTTAAATGTCGTCACTTCCGGTATGCGGTAAAACATCGTTTAGATCTCTCCACGCCGCTGGAAGGTGCTTAGAAAGAATGCGTGACTTTCACACATTCTTGTCTTGCCTCACCTATACTTTCTCGAATATTTCAGGTTGATATGCTTTATTATTGTTTCGTCCCGCATACCAAATATGGAACCCGTGTCACTGAGAATGACAGGAAGGAGAAAACTTCTATACGTGCAGCGTGACTCTGCGGCTCTAGAGAACGTGACGCAGTCAGATCGGCTCGCGATGACTCGCTTACCCGCGCCCACTGCGGAGGCCGACGTTGCTACCAGCTGAGACTTCTGTCGTTCTTTTTCAATTTAGTTTCGATATCAGCCTCCCCGGCTTAACTTTACCAGGAAATGCCGCGGAGCAAAATCAAGTTGCCTGCGTTCAGCTATAGGACATATATGCCTTGACGATGGGCAACATATCGTTAACTGAAATCTGGCAGTTAACAGGGATGTGGCGGAACTTATTTATTGGATTTTATTTGTTCGCTAATTTTACTTCAACATTCCCCAGAAGTTCGCGTATTATTTGACGTAAATATTTTGCAAATTAGCACTTCACACTCGTAACCTCACGGTCATCGTATAGAGCTTTCTAATAAAGAGCATATGGCCAGTGCTATTCTCAGCGTCCGTGCGTATGCCGCGTGCTTTGCTTGATTTCTGAAGCCACGAACACGTGCGTGATGGGCCGAAGAGATCGCACGCTGGACTGTAGATTTGTAAACGCCGTCAAAGTGGTGACCCTCGATAAAATTCACGCTTCGTGCTGCCAACCATTGTTCTTCGAACGCGCAAGACACGTGCCACCAAGCGAGTGCTGCGCCGTCAATTGCTTCCAAGGTCCGCACGGGGCACGGGTGGCGTGCATCGGTGCGTCCGTTGCTGTACTTGCGAGACAAACACAAACGCAACCATCAAGAGGCTTCAGTCCGCCATGGTCGATAATATTATCTTAAAGGAAGTAGGTCATTATTTAAGTTTTTTTTCGTCAAGCTTATTATCAGTGGTTGGTGAAACACCCGGAACATACCGAATAACCTATAGGCAGACTACACAGCAACTAGTGTCTGATATTCAGGTCAGAACCTTTATTCAACTAGATCGTATACTATAGCAGGGCAAGTTAGGCTGCATTGCCCTCGTGCTCTGAGATACACGCTACAGCCACATATAGCTTCAGAAACAGGGCTTTGCTATTCCTGGGTATCTTAAGTATCGCACCACAGCCAATGAGACAAGAGCCGGTAAAAACCCTCAAGAACAAACTCACGAAGCAAAAAGCATAAACCTATTAGGCGACGCCTCTCGTTTCTTAACCTGTCAGTGACTGTAACACCACGATTCTTTGCTAATGCCGATCCGAAAATTTCATTTCAAGTCAATTTTTTCAATAGAAAGATAATAGCATTATTACACTCACCGATCCATTAATTTCCACTGCGTCGATGCCACACCAGCGGCCAATTATGCGTGCTTCGTTGAAACAAAGTTGGGCTGTACAAATATGAGAAATTGCAATTTGTCACGATGCAAAACCAGAGCGCACAGAAACAGGGCCTAAACAGACACGTACGACAGGCGATAGCATGCTGAAACAATTTCAACTGGCAAGGTTTTTTACACCCCTGATGCAATGGCAACATTAGTTGGCGAATACATTGCAATAAAACATTATTGAGACGAACTATAAAGCAGTGTACCGGACCATTTATTTACATAGCTTTCGGCCTTTTGGTTTTTGTTAACCCGTGATGACCGAAAACTTGATTGATAATTTGGGAGTCCTGTATGGAGATGAGCAGTTTTATACCGGGGGTTCCATTTTTATTTGAACCGATTTATTACAAAGAAACCCGTAAGAGATGCACTAATACGGTTTGTGCAGGTGTTATAGGGCCAGGGTGACATCATATAGGTGGCTGATCTTCGCGATAAGTCGGACAATTAACAAAACTTTTTGAATTAACTTTTTAATTTGTAAAATTAATCATATGGTTACAATTTGGAACATGCTGAGCATAATCGAAAACCACTAAATCAACCTTTTCTAACACGACTTGAAGCTCGCGAGAAACTCGGGAACGCACCAAAGTCGAGCAGCAGGCGCAATGCTAGCAGTGGCGGTGCGGCTGCGATGGCTCGCGAAGTATTGGTTACTATAGCAACAGCTGCGTCGGCTCCAAAAAAACTGGGTTAAAAATCGAGTTTTTTTACCCCAGATTTGCTGGAGCCCACGCACCTGTTACCATAGCAACTCGGAAAAGGATTAACGTCGCAAGCAGCACGCAGTCGCACTACTCGGTCAGACTTACGCGAGTGTGTAGACCAACCTTTAAGGTGAAACGAAGTATGGTGCCTGCAGTTTCAGGATATAAAAACAGACCACTAAAACACTTTTTTTTTACGAAATTTCAGCTCTGTAGAAGCTGACGATGATTACGCAGAGTCACTCTCTGGCAAATAGTTTTTAGAAGCTTGTACCAACCTGCTCAATGTTGACAACGAGCATGCGTTTTCGCGATGGGACTGCGTAATTGACACAGTAGCAAAAAAAAAACGGACTTGCGGCAAATGCTATATCTAATTCGCGTAAAAAAACAAAAACAAAATCATCAGAGAGAGCCGTAATGTTGTAATTATACGTTCAACAAGGTGTCGCAACCATTGCACTTTCTTGCGATTCTAGCGAAGCGCCGATCATTTTGGAAATTTTAAAATGTAAAGGTTAGGTCAGAAACCTGGCACAGTCCTTCTGCAGTCAGCGGTGCCGGTTGTTGGTCAAATACTATTTACGAGTCAATAATAATAAAAAATGTAAAACACCCGACGCACGAACGCACACACAAAGCGATCATGCGCAGTCAATGCACCGTGATCCTGACAAGCGCCATGACGGTGCACGTTTAGTGCCGCTTGATTGGCTCAAGTTCGTCTGCCTCTTGCGCAGGAGTTGCGGTGACATTAGAAAGACGCCGAGCTCCGATTGACTATGATTGAAGGATAGCGGGTAGACCTCAAAGCAATCTGCCTTGAGGTCTACCCACTATCCTTCAGTCGGAACCAATCGGAGCTCGACGTTTTTCTGACGTCACCGCAACCCCTGCAAAATAATCAGACGAACTTGCGTTCCGCGTAGCGTTGGCTACGGTCAGACTTCATATAAAACGGGGCAGAGCTGTTCAGACTCTACGCAGTATACGCGGTCGTGCCCAGTTAGGCCCACTTCAGACGCAGCAACTTGTCCCGCAGGCCAGACGTCGAAACAATACATGCAACACGGATCTCCCCTCTGCAGACGCAGCAACTCGATTGCAAGATTTCGTCATCGTCGTCATTGAAACTAATTTTTTTTTCGCAGTATTTAGACCCAAAGCTTCGCGTTGATAACGTGTTTTATATATATATATATATATATACCTTTAAATACCGTGAG